GCACCAGTGACTCGGTTAATAAAAAAGTGGTCAGATGACGCAAATGCTAAGCTACAGGACTGTTTTGCTATCACAGACTGGAACATGTTCCGGGATTCTTCAGATAGCATTGAGGAGTACACCACATCAGTCACTGGCTTCATCAATAAGTGCATCGATGATGTCTTCCCCACAATGACCGTACATACCCCAACCAGAAGCAATGGATTACAGGAAACATCCGCACTGAGCTAAAGGGTAGAGCTGCCGCTTTCAAGGAGCAGGACTCTAACCCGGACGCTTATAAGAAATCCCGCTATGCCCTCCGACGAACCATCAAACAGGCAAAGAGTCAATACAGGACTAAGATTGAATCGTACTACACCGGCTCTGACGCTCGTCGGATGTGGCAGGGCTTGAAAACTATTACAGACTACAAAGGGAAGCACAGCCGCGAGCTTCCCAGTGACACAAGCCTACCAGACGAGCTAAACCACATCTATGCTCGCTTCGAGGCAAGCAACACTGAAGCATGCATGAGAGCACCAGCTGTTCTGGATGACTATGTGATCACGCTCTCCGTAGCCGATGTGAGTAAGACTTTTAAGCAGGTCAACATTCACAAGGCCGCAGGGCCAGACAGATTGCCAGGACGTGTACTCCGAGCATGTGCTGACCAACTGGCAAGTGTCTTCACTGACATTTTCAACATGTCCCTGACTGAGTCTGTAATACCAACATGTTTCAAGCAGACCACCATAGTCCCCGTGCCCAAGGACACTAAGATAACCTGCCTAAATGACTACCGACCCGTAGCACTGACGTCTGTAGCCATGAAGTGCCTTGAAAGGCTGGTCATGGCTCACATCAACACCATTATCCCAGAAACCCTAGACCCACTCCAATTTGCATACCACCCCAACATATCCACAGATGATGCAATCTCTATTGCACTCCACACTGCCCTTTCCCACCTGGACAAGAGGAACACCTACGTGAGAATGCTATTCATTGACTACAGCTCAGCATTCAACACCATAGTGCCCTCAAAGCTCATCACTAAGCTAAGGATCCTGGGACTAAACACCTCCCTCTGCAACTGGATCCTGGACTTCCTGACGGGCCGCCCCCCAGGTGGTAAGGGTAGGTAACAACACATCTGCCACACTGATCCTCAACACGGGGGCCCCTCAGGGGTGCGTGCTCAGTCCCCTCCTGTACTCCCTGTTCACCCATGACTGCATGGCCAGGCACGACTCCAACACCATCATTAAGTTTGCCGACGACACAACAGTGGTAGGCCTGATCACCGACAACGATGAGACAACCTATAGGGAGGAGGTCAGAGACCTGGCCGTGTGGTGCCAGGATAACAACCTCTCCCTCAACGTGACCAAGACAAAGGAGATGATTGTGGACTACAGGAAAAAAAAAAAGAGGACTGAGCACGCCCCCATTCTCATTGACGGGGCTGTAGTGGAACAGGTTGAGAGCTTCAAGTTCCTTGGTGTCCACATCACCAACGAACTATCATGGTCCAAACACACCAAGACAGTCGTGAAGAGGGCACGACAAAGCCTATTCCCCCTCAGGAGACTGAAAAGATTCGGCATGGGTCCTCAGATCCTCAAAATATTATACAGCTGCACCATCGAGAGCATCCTGACTGGTTGCATCACCGCCTGGTATGGCAACTGCTTGGCCTCCGACCGCAAGGCACTACAGAGGGTAGTGCGTACTGCCCAGTACATCACTGGGGCCAAGCTTCCTGCCATCCAGGACCTCTATACCAGGCGTTGTCAGAGGAAGGCCCTCAAAATTGTCAAAGACTCCAGCCACCCTAGTCATAGACTGTTCTCTCTGCTACCGCACGGCAAGCGATACCGGAGTGCCAAGTCTAGCTCCAAAAGACTTCTCAACAGCTTCTACCCCCAAGCCATAAGACTCCTGAACAGCTAATCATGGCTACCCGGACTATTTGCACTGCCCCCCCCCCCACCCCATCTTTTTACGCTGCTGCTACTCTGTTAATTATTTATGCATAGTCACTTTAACTCTACCCACATGTACATATTACATCAACTACCTCAACTAGCCGGTGACCCTGCACATTGACTCTGCACCGGTACCCCCCTGTATATACTGTATAGCCTCCCTACTGTTATTTTATTTTACTTCTGCTCTTTTTTTCTCAACACTTTTTTGTTGTTGTTTTATTTTACTTTTCTATTAAAAAATAAATGCACTGTTGGTTAAGGGCTGTAAGTAAGCATTTCACTGTAATGTCTGCACCTGTTGTATTCGGCGCATGTGGCCAATAAAATTGGATTTGATTCCCAATGTCAAACCAGTTGGAGAACATTTCTAGAACATTACCAAAACTGAAATGAAATGTAACCATGTTTGAACTTTTAGGAAACTTTCTGTTAAAGGTGCAATATGCAAAAATCGCTCCGCCATTTCCTGGTTGCTAAAATTCTAATAGTTTGCCTTATTTCAGTTTATGTGACAAAACAAGCAGTCATTGTGTAGAGAATCATTGTACCATCCAAACCCTTGTGAAATAAATTATCCATAACCAAAAATGTTGTGTTTTCATCTGTTTGAAACTGGTGTACAAAACCGAAAGTAAAAGACGCAAATTAGAAAATTAAGAACGGGAAGCATAGAAATAGTGCACATAGAACAGATCTACCGCTTCTTGGACTTGCTTTCAATTAAAATTACAGATCTATAACTCACAATTCTATGTGAATTTGGTTGGGTTACCCAAAAAGTTACATATTGTAGCTTTAAAGTAACAAAATACCAAGAAAATAAAAAATGTTTGTCAAGTTCCTTAAATGTGCTGAGAATGTTCCAAAGCCAAGCAACTATCCTGCACCATTCCCAGAAAGTTGTGGGACGGTTGTATGCAAAATAACCATAGGACAACCACGCTCTCACCAAGCTCTAAGAAACATATGGTTCTCAGAACTTTGTGGGCTAGTTGCGTTATTCCTCAAATCCCATATACACAGAAGCAGGGAGGATAGGGTCCCGGTTTCTGGTACATGGGGTAATATAACTAATGTTTCTTATGTTGACAAAGCTTTGTGGCTATGGGGGACGTTTGTGAGGAACACTGTGTAGCTAGACACACTCCATTTGTGCGGTTGGAGCCTGCTTCCTGAATGAGTAATCAAAATGAACAAACGATTAATTGTTTATAGGAACAAGATAACTTTTCTCACTTATACTCCCTCACTCTTTTTTAGTTTCAAATGCCGTACCAGTGGCCTCCATCACACCAAAATCTTAATAAACAAATGAAATACAAAAGGTTTTCTAGAGCTTGTTGAGTCTTTGTTTGCTTGTGAGGTCAGAGTGGTAGACAGAAAGGTACACCTTGGTCAGTAACTTACATAAATCTTTGACCCAAGACAATAAGGGGTTACCCGGGGTTACAAGTTCTTGCATCAGGAGTGGGCAGTCCTGCTTTGTTCCCGAGATTCAATCTCTTTTCCTTTATCTAACAGGAAAACACATTACAACATGATCCAACACCCAACTTAATCAACATTCCTTTAATGGGATACTTCAGATTAACACAGTTTTGTATTGTTGTTCCCCTAGAGTTCTAGGCCTACAGCTCTGTGCACTGGACTAACTAAATCCTCATGATGCCCATAGGCAATGCTAGGTCTGTTAGTGAGACTACCAATGAAGACCAACTCAGTGGAATGGAAATTAATTAGTAAAAACAACCTGAATGGAAATAGCATCCACACATTGGTTCACTGACACTGGCATTGGCTGTGATAATACTAAGTAGACGGTGTATGCCTATACTCACTAACGGCTAAAGCTACACTACATGACCAAAAGTATGTGGACACCCCTTCAAATTAGTGGATTTGGCTATTTCAGCCACATCCGTTGCTGACAGGTATATAAAATCGAACACACAGCCATGCAATCTCCATAGACAAACATTGGCAGTAGAATGGCCTTACTGAAGAGCTCAGTGACTTTCAACATGGCACCGTCATGGGATGCCACCTTTCCAACAAGTCAGTTCGTCAAATTTCCCTGCTTGAGCTCCCCGGTCAACTGTAAGTGCTGTTATTGTGAAGTGGAAACGTCTAGGAGCAACAACGGCTCAGCCGCGAAGTGGTAGGCCACACAAGCTCACAGAACGGGACCGCCGAGTTCTGAAGCACGCAGCATGTAAAAATAATCTGTCCTCGGTTGCAACACTCCCTACCGAGTTCCAAACTGACTCTGGAAGCAACGTCAGCACAATAACTGTTCGTCGGGAGCTTCATGAAATGGGTTTCCATGGCTGAATAGCCGCACACAAGCCTAAGATCACCATGCGCAGTGCCAAGCGTTGGCTGGAGTGGTGTAAAGCTCGCCGCCATTGGACTCTGGAGCAGTGGAAACGCATTCTCTGGAGTGATGAATCACGCTTCACCATCTGGCAGCGTGACTGACAAATCTGGGTTTGGCGGATGCCAGGAGAACGCTACCTGCCCGAATGTTTGGAGGAGGAATAACGGTCTGGGGCTGTTTTTCATGGTTCGGGCTAGGCCCCTTAGTTCCAGTGCAGGGAAATCTTAACGCTACAGCATACAATGGCATTCTAGACTATTCTGTGCTTCCGACTTTGTGGCAACAGTTTGTGGAAGGCCCTTTCCTGTTTCAGCATGACAATGCCCCCATGCACAAAGCGAGGTCCGTACAGAAATGGTTTGTCGAGATCGGTGTGGAAGAACTTGACTGGCCTGCACAGAGCCCTGACAACCCCATCGAACACCTTTGGGATGAATTGGAACACCAACTGCGAGTCAGGCCTAATCGCTCAACTAAATGGAAGCAAGTCCCCGCAACAATGTTCCAACATCTAGTGGAAAGCCTTCCCAGAAAAGTGGAGGCTGTTATAGGAGCAAAGGGGGAACCAACTCCATATTAATGCCCATCATTTTGGAATGAGATGTTCACATACTTTTCGCTATGTAGTACATGTATCTACCTGTAAGGTAGATAAGTGTAAGGATTCATTAATGATTTCCATATAAAAACTAACATTAAATAGACGCATTGTGGTTTCTTAGAGTGATCCAAAATAGCTTTTATTCTCCAAACTTTACAAATAGTGCAAATGTACGTAACATGAAAACAAAAAAAACATCCCCAAAAAGCTATTTCAGAAAACTAAAAGCAAATTTCTCAAACTCACACAGGGCAGGGGATGGTAATCATTACCACAGTAACTAATGACAGTAGGGCAGAGGGGGCACAGACTGAAACACAAGTTCAAACACTTCAATGTCTAAAACAAACCTTCACTCAGTCAAATGGCACCCCAAATTACTCAGGACAGAATCTCGTTTTTACTCTGTTATGTAGTTCCTTCCACTGAAATAGAAACGCCTGCACTCATGAGAACTTATCGTAACCCAGAGTGTAGCGCAGCAGAGGTCAAGCGAATATCAACCTCTGGTCCAGTCTTGGCCAATAATAGTAATACTGCAGTAATGAAGTGCTGGAGTTTTAATCTTAGAATATCTTTTTGCAAAAGTAAAGTGTATTTTTTAGACCTTGTTAGCTTATGAGGGTTATTTGTTAACTGCATACACTTTTGCACATTACATTTTCTGTAATAACCATGTGCATAAGACTATAGTAATTGATAGTGGTGAGGTAAAGATGGAAATACTACAAAACATGCATTTGCCTGATGTTTTCTGTTTGAATATTGCTGTTCTCTAGTATTTTAGATAATCTTGAAATGTATCATTTTCAGACTCCACAGCTTCTACATCAATTAATTTAACTCATAAAACAACAAAACCCAATCAATGGAAAACAAGACATTGCAAGACTAATGTCACAAACAGTAACTAAACTCAAACTCACTGCATAAACATATGCGAACTGGGAACAAAGTTCATACTTCCGGTTTTGTTCTTTCAGACACCGAGCTGTAGTATACGGTACTAGCTACCGTATAGTAGACTCCCGTCCTTCTCCCTTCCCTCCTAAATCTCCCACTCTGGTTGAGTGTTGGAGCACTGCAAGTAAACATTTAACATCTTCAATCCCAAGACCTTGTCAACAATGTCAGTTTTCTTCTTTCCTCAACATCCACAGCGATAAACAATCAGACAACATACTGCAAGAAATAAGAAAGATCCTTTTGGCATTATTTGTTTGGCACAAGTTGAGTACTAAACTTCCCATCTCTCCATTGTAATTGGCAATAAATCAGACTGCTCCTGTCAGTTTCATGTAACTGTAGGTGAAGACGGGTGAATCAATCTACCTGCTGCATGGGCCTAAAGTAGGTCTTTGGTATACATAGTGACTGGAGCCCTGTCCCGTCCATAATATGCCATTCAGTGGAAAATACCTTTTATAAGTAACCCATTATACAATACACTACTGTAACAGATTCTACAGTAAGGCAACTATCTGGTGATAAGTTAGTTAGGGATATGTCTTTGTGACCTTAAGTTAATACACAAAATAAAGCCATACAGTCATAGATTGCACACACAATGACACGCATCAACGCACACATTCACACGCACAAACACAGGTACACAAACACTATGCATCCATATAGAAACATATGCGACAAGAAAAACACTTCAATCCAATCAAAACACAATCTGAAGAGCAAAGTGACTGATGATAACCAGTCATAGGTTGGATTGAGGCTCAATCATATCATGGAGAAAGGGGTGGGGCGAACATCGTTTTACGTCCTCTTAGTGCAGTCACTTAACACAGTTCTCAGTCTCTTCCATGCAGTGTGGATGTCATGAACCACACACATACATCATCAATCCCAAAGTGCACCCAGGTGACCTTCCACTGGGCTGCCTGGTTCAGGTGTGTCCGACGCCAGGCCTCACTGCAGCACACACTTCTCCTGCTTGCTCTTCTTGCTGTACTTCTTGCGCCTCTGCTCCAGGCCTCTCTCCAGCCTCTCGTCCTCCTCCAGAGCCCTAGGCGCAGAGAACAGGGAGAGAGACCTGCTAGAACAGTAGCCTCATAGCAAATAGTCCCTCTCTCAGACTTAGGTTCAACTGTGTGGCAGTGGAAGACAAAACTCACAAAGACACCTGATATCTCATTCACCCCTTAGCATCCTGTCAAACCATATATTAACAGATGATTACACCCATGGTTTATGTGTAACAGAGCGTGTAAAGTGTTTGCTGTGTCTGTTCAGCATGTATGACTCAGCTGGGCCATGGGATGCGTCCCAAATGGCACCCTATTCCCTATATAGTACACTACTTTTGACCAGGGGCCATTTGGGCTCTAGTCAAAAGTAGTGCATTATTTGGGCAGGGATCATCAATTAGATTCAGCTGCGGGACGATTTTTGTCTTGAGCAGATGGTTGGGCCAGAACATGATTACAAATAATTTGTAGACTGCAAATTAACCCGCAAGAAGCCCAAACAGATATAATATTTGACTAAAACATAATAATTTCAAACCTTGCTTACATTTGTATATGATCACGTGTCTCTCTATTATGAGTGGAAATACTTGGGAACAGATTTCCAAAATTAAAATAACTTGCAGCTGATTTCCTGGTGTTTTTACAATCTTTTATGTCCAACAATGAAAATAAATAAATAAATGTTTTTGGGTTTTTTTGCTCAGAAAACTTGAGGGGCCAAATAAAACAACCCGCAGGCTAAATTCGGTCAACTGGTCACCAGTTGCGGAACCCTGATATGCAGACATGGCTGTCTCACCCTCTCTCCTTGGCGTCCATGTCGTGGACCAGCTCGTCCCTCAGGTTGACCAGAGACACCAGCTCCTGCAGTAGCAGCTGCTCCCTGTGCTTATGAGCAGCTGTCTTCTGCCACTCTGGAGGACAGAAAAAAGGGAGTGGGAGGGAGAGAGGGAGCGGAAGATAGGGAAAGAGTGATACGGGATTGAGGGTGATACAGAGTAGAGAAGACAGTTGTTGCTTTGCCAATGTGCACTTGAGTTCCATGACCACCTTTTTCTTGCAATGGTCTTTTTAATTTTTTTCCCCTTGTTCTAATAATATTCTAATTTCGTGTGAAACAAAAATCCCCTTCTCTTTAAAGATCTATAACCTAATGATGAAACTGGAAGTTAATAAAGGATTCAGATAAATAATGACATTAAAGAAAGGATCACTTCCTCAAACCAACTAGTGGGCAGATACCACTTGGCACAGTTGGCAGAACTAGCGTGAGTCAATCACACCCAAAGCTTAGTGCCATATGCAACAACACACTTTAGATTTCCTTTGCAGACTTAAAGCTAGAATTCTTAGTTGCTACATCCATTTTTGGACTTATAAATTAATGATATATACCCATTGATTCTTGAAGAATATAACTTATAAATGCCTCGTGAGCTTAGCTCAACGGTCGTACCCCATAAGCTTGTTTTACTCCAATGTTTGTAAACAACATAAATGTAAACAAACGCTCTAAAACCTAAAACATGGTTAAAACTATACATTTGATATCATGGATGGTCAGTCATTGCATAAATAGCTCTGTCTATGAATTTGAGAGTGGTTACGTTTATCCAGCCCCATCCCTTAGCTTTTTAGCGAAACGGGCGGGGAAAATAAACGTTGTTATTGTTTCAATTAAGGATTCTAGCTTTAAGACAGATTTTTGCTATTGTATGTTTTGGATGTCACTATGACCATAACTGACCACAGTAGTGAGCTGTACTGCAGAAAAGAGTTGAATCATGGATCTTGTAGTTCAGTATATTGGTACTGTAGTTTTACCTTCAGTAGCCATCATGTCTCTCAGTTCTCGGTTCAGCATCTCAAACCTTGTTTCCAGGTTCTGCTCTTCTTGTCTGTGGAGCAGAATTACTTTTGGTTAGATCAATGTAATGTATCTATAATATGTCAGCATTGTTTAAAGCACTAGGTAACGGTAGAGAACACAGTGGGGATGGGGGATCTTACAGTAGCTGTAGTTGGTCTTGTCTCCTGATGAGGGCGTTCTTCTTGTTGACAAGAGTGAACCACTCCTGAATCAGCTTCTCCTCCTGCATCTTGTCACTACCTACATGTATGGAGACAGAGAGGGCATCATTATAAAGAGAAGCTTTGAAAATACTGAAAGCCTTATATATACTTCAAGGGTATATTTCTTTCTCTTTCTTCATCCCCCTCCTCCCTCCATCCCCCCCTCACCTATAATGATAATATGCCATTTAGCAGACGCTTTTATCCAAAGCGACTAACAGTCATGCGTGCATACATTTCTTTTTTTTGTTTCTTTTTGTGTATGGGTGATCCCGGGGATCAAACCCACTATCTTGGCGTTACAAGCACCGTGCTCTACCAGCTGAGCTACAGAGGACCACACCTGACTCCATCAGTCGCCGTAGTCTCCTTTCCACGATGTCTGCCCTGCTGTCAATGTGCTTCTGTTCTGCCTCTAGGGCCTTCATTTCGCTCAGTGCATACTGGCTGGCGTCCTGGACGCACACACACACACACACACACGCACACGCACACACACACACAGAATGATACTTCTTTCATATACAGAACATTGGTATTTCCTTGATGCACGAAAGTGTTTATGACAGCGGCAGGCAGGGATTTGTGAACGTGACAGACCTGGCACTCCTCCTCAGCCGATCGTCCTTCTTCACCAGCTTCCCCTTCTATATGAAAAATACACACAAACACTACGTAAAGAAATACATAGGAACATAATGCAGTAGCTCCACTGAGCAATTGCTGGACGAGCATTAAAGTGGCAAACTAAACTGCGATGACAAGAGGCAATTAGCATAATTTGATAGGCCAAGGACTGATCCTAACGACAGGAAACCATCAAAGTAATTAGAGTGAGTGAAGCCAATGCTCAGGGGATGGATGAGTCAAGTACAGCAAAGAAAACTGTGATGACTTGTGTCTGTACTCTCTTGCTCTCCTATCCACTGCACCTCTGATGGGTGTTGTGCAATCAAAGTTCCTGGGAAACTGGAGACTCAGTAAGTCAGTGTGGGGGTAAACTCCGATCACATCATACAAAATCAATATACTGTACATCGTGGTCAAAAGTTTTGAGAATGACACAAGTATTGGTCTTCACAAAGTTTGCTGTTTCAGTGTTATGAGATATTTTTGTCAGATGTTACTATGGTATACTGAAGTATAATTACAAGCATTCCATAAGTGTCAAAGGCTTTTATTGACAATTACATTAAGTTTATGCAAAGAGTCAATATTTTCAGTGTTGACCCTTCTTTTTCAAGACCTCTGCAATCCGCCCTGGCATGCTGTCAATTAACTTCTGGGCCACATCCTGACTGATGGCAGCCCATTCTTGCATAATCAATGCTTGGAGTTTGTCAGAATTTGTGGGTTTTTGTTTGTCCACCTGCCTCTTGAGGATCGACCACAAGTTCTCAATGGGATTAAGGTCTGGGGAGTTTCCTGGCCATGGACCCAAAATTTCGATGTTTTGTTCCCCAAGCCACTTAGTTATCACTTTTGCCTTATGGCAAGGTGCTCCATCATGCTGGAAAAGGCCATTGGTCGTCACCAAACTGTTCTTGGATGGTTGGGAGAAGTTGCTCTCGGAGGATGTGTTGGTACCATTCTTTATTCATGGCTGTGTTCTTAGGCAAAATTGTGACTAAGCCCACTCCCTTGGCTGAGAAGCAACCCCACACATGAATGGTCTCAGGATGCTTTACTGTTGGCATGATACAGGACTGATGGTAGCGCTCACCTTGTCTTCTCCGGACAAGGTGTTTTCCGGATGCCCCAAACAATCGGAAAGGCGATTCATCAGAGAAAATGACTTTACCCCAGTCCTCAGCAGTCCAATCCCTGTACCTTTTGCAGAATATCAGTCTGTTTTTCCTGGAGAGAAGTGGCTTCTTTGCTGCCCTTCTTGACACCAGGCCATCCTCCAAAAATCTTCGCCTCACTGTGCGTGCAGATTCACTCACACCTGCCTGCTGCCATTCCTGAGCAAGCTCTGCACTGGTGGTGCCCTGATCCCGCAGCTGAATCAACTTTAGGAGACGGTCCTGGCGCTTGCTGGACTTTCTTGGGCGCCCTGATGCCTTCTTCACAACAATTGAACCTCTCTCCTTGAAGTTCTTGATGATCCGATAAATGGTTGATTTAGGTGCAATCTTACTAGCAGCAATATCCTTGCCTGTGAATCCCTTTTTGTGCAAAGCAATGATGACGGCACGTGTTTCCTTGCAGGTAACCATGGTTAACAGTGGAAGAACAATGATTTCAAGCACCACCCTCCTTTTAAAGCTTCCAGTCTGTTATTCTAACTCAATCAGCATGAGAGAGTGATCTCCAGCTTTGTCCTCGTCAACACTCTCACCTGTGTTAATGAGAGAATCACTGACATAATGGCAGCTGGTCCTTTTGTGGCAGGGCTGAAATGCAGTGGAAATGTTTTTTGGGGGATTAAGTTCATTTTCATGGCAAAGAGGGACTTTGCAATTAATTGCAATTAATCTGATCACTCTTCATGACATTCTGGAGTATATGCAAATTGCCATCATCAAAACTGAGGCAGCAGACTTTGTGAAAATTAGTATTTGTGTCATTCTCAAAACTTTTGACCACGACTGTATGTACCGGTTTCTGATTTCCTTCGGGCAGCTCCATCCTCTTCCTGACCTGTAGCAACCTGTAAATACAACAAAGGAATCACTCACAGAGATGGAGAACGAGAGATAGCAGAAAGTGGAGAGAGAGAGAGAGAGAGAAAGATCATAGGCCGCTTACCTCGGTTGAGTCGGCCTCGTCTATTGACCTGCGTTGCGACCGCCGCTTCTTAACCAGATCTGCATCCTTTAGGTGGGAGAACCCAGACTTGGCAGATAAGAAGTGTGTCCTGGGGGGTGCGACGGGGGCCTGGGCCCCTCCTGCTGCCCCTGCAGCCTGCGGCCGCTTGGTTCTAGGGGGCGGGACCACATCCCCATTGGTGCCCCCCTTAGTGTCACTATAGGCCTCCTTCTCCGCAGCGCCCCCATTGGTCTCCATTGTGAGGGCCTCATCTTGGATCCGTTGACAGTAGCGTGCAGCGGCCTCCGGGTCGGGGCCCTCCCTGCTCTCCCCGGCCACACCGTAGCTGGACTCGCTGCTGTCCGCCTCGATGTGCAGCACACTCAGCTCCTGGCCCAAGAAGTAGGTGCGGATCTGGTTGAGGTAGGTCATGACGATGAGGCGGTCAGGCACGGCCAGGAGGACCATGTCTGAGGGCTCCATCAGCCGAGAGATGCCCAGCGCAGCAAAGCCGTCGAAAGCCTGGGGGTTAAAGAGGAGATGGGGTGGATGGGTAAATTGCAGTAGTACTTAAGTAAAAATACTTTAAGGTACTACTTAAGTACTTTTTGGGGGGTATCTGTACTTTACTATTTATATTTTTGACAACTTTAACTTTTTCTCCACTACATTCCTAAAGAAAATAATGTACATTTTACTCCATACATTTTCTCTGACACCCAAAAGTACTCGTTACATTTAGCTTAGCAGGACAGAAACATTTACCAATTCACACACTTATCAAGAGAACATCCCTGGTCATCCCTACTGCCTCTGATCTGGCGGACTCACTAAACACATATGCTTCGTTTGTAAATTATGTCTGAGTGTTGGAGTGTGCCCCTGGCTATATAAAATAATAAAACAAAAAAATCATGCCGTCTGGTTTGCTTAATATAAGAAATTATTTATACTTTTACTTTTGAGACTTAAACTGTCATGTATACGTGAATTCTGATTATTTCCAGGAATACACAATATCCTGAAATACATGTAAATATCTTTGTTAGAAATAATACTATATTTCCCTTGACGGAGTGATGCTGAATGTAAAAAATGGCTCAACTTATCCGACTCGCCCCTACAGTAAATGCACTCAAAAATGTAAGTACTGTATATTTAAAACCAAATACTTTTACTCAAGTACTATTTTACTGGGTGACTTTCCCTTTTACTTGAGTCATTTTCTATTAAAGTATCTTTATTTTTACTCAAGTATGACAATTGGGTACTTTTTCCACCACTGGTAAAATGTTCAGGTGCTAAACACTTCATGATAAAATTAAAGGGGTAGCAAATGATGGGTTAGCACATTATACTCTGACTGATTATCACATGACGAAAAAACATGAGGGAAATCACCTTCTTGTTGTTGCGCTTGATGTCATAAGGGTCCAGCATCTCAAAGTTTCTAAGCAGCGAAGAGAGAGAAAATCGATACACAAGAACAGGAAACAAGTTAACACAAAAATTATGATGATGTCATTTTCAAAGGTTAAAGAAACCATAACATAATGCCTGCTCATGTTTTTGTCTAAGTGCTCCACAGAGGGTACCTACATCCTGTCCGGGTGGAAGTGGTGTAGAAGGGCACAGAAGGCCAGGCCGTTCCTCCAGGATGTGCTGAAGTTAGTGATCTTGACCCCCTTGTGTTCTTTGGTGGCCTCCTGACACCACTCCAGTAGTAACTGGCTGGAAGTGACCAGGCCAGGACTGGCCATGAGGCCCTAAAACAACAAATGGCATCAGATATAATTGGTCAATTCAGAGTTAAATCGAAGTGGCACTTCATTTTATGGTATAGAAATGACCAGGTTTCACACAGTGATAACCTAAAAACAAGTGTTGTTTTGTCGTTACAAAATTGACAGTTATGATGGTGGTTAGGAGTCAACATTTCATAAGTCAATGATGACACAAAATGGATGTTGAAGGATTGGTCAACTGATAAGACTATAAATAGCGTACTTCTGGAGAAGCAGCACTGTCTTGACCCATTTCCTGAGAGTTTGCAGGTCTGCGTTTAGGCGTTGTTGGCTCCTCTGCTGCCTCCTGCTGACTAAAAAGATAAAGACAGGGATTTAATATGACCTGACTACACAGCAACTGAATGTTATACTCTGGATTTTTTGTTCAAACAGTTTAGTAGCAACACATTTAAAACAATGGTAATGGATTAAATATATGGCATTTTCTCAATCAGTTAATTTTCATACAAGCGTAGTAGTAGTAGTAGAATTATCAACAACTAGGGGAGGGTGTGGTAAGTTGAGCTAAAGGGGTATGTTGACTCACCCTGGTTTCTAATAATTTGACCAAATATTTAGGAAGAGGTCATGTACAGTTGAAGTCGGAAGTTTACATACACCTTTGCCAAATACATTTAAACTCAGTTTTTCACAATTCCTGACATTTAATCCTAGTAAAAATTCCCTGTTTTAGGTCAGTTAGGATCACCACTTTATTTTAAGAATGTGAAATGTCAGAATAATAGTAGAGAGAATGATTTATTTAAGCTTTTATTTATTTCATCACATTCCCAGTGGGTCAGAAGTTTACATACACTATATTAGTATTTGGTAGCATTGCCTTTAAATTGTTTAACTTGGGTCAAACGTTTTGGGTAGCCTTCCACAAGCTTCCCACAATAAGTTGGGTGAATTTTGGCCCATTCCTCCTGACAGAGCTGGTGTAACTGAGTCAGGTTTGTAGGCCTCCTTGCTTGCACACGCCTTCTCAGTTCTGCCCACATATCTTCTATAGGTTTGAGGTCAGAGCTTTGTGATGGCCTCCAATACCTTGACTTTGTTGTCCTTAAGCCATTTTGCCACAACTTTGAAAGTATGCTTGGGGTCATTGTCCATTTGGAAGACCCATTTGCGACCAAGATTTAACTTCCTGACTGATGTCTTGAGATGTTGCTTCAATATATCCACAATTTTCCTTCCTCATGATGCCATCTATTTTGTGAAGTGCACCAGTCCCTCCTGCAGCAAAGCACCCCCACAGCATGATGCTGCCACCCCCGTGCTTCACGGTTGGAATGGTGTTCTTCGGCTTGCAAGTAACCCCCTTTTTCCTCCAAACATAACGATGGTCATTATGGCCAAACAGTTCTATTTTTGTTTCATCAGACCAGAGGACATTTCTCCAAAAAGTACGATCTTTGTCCCCATGTGCAGTTGCAAACCGTAGTCTGGCTTTTTTATGGCGGTTTTGGAGCAGTGGCTTCTTCCTTGCTGAGCGGCCTTTCAGGTTATGTTGATATAGGACTCGTTTTACTGTGGATATAGATACTTTTGTACCTGTTTCCTCCAGCATCTTCACAAGGTCCTTTGCTGTTGTTCTGGGATTGATTTGCACTTTTCGCACCAAAGTACGTTCATCTCTAGGAGACAGAACGCGTCTCCTTCCTGAGCAGTATGACGGCTGCGTGGTCCCATGGTGTTTATACTTGCGTACTATTGTTTGTACAGATTAACATGGAACCTTCAGGCGTTTGGAAATTGCTCCCAAGGATGAACCAGACTGTTTTTTCTGAGGTCTTGGCTGATTTTTTAGATTTTCCCATGTTGTCAAGCAAAGAGGCACTGCGTTTGAAGGTAGGCCTTGAAATACATCCACAGGTACACCTCCAATTGACTCAAATGATGTCAGTTAGCCTATTAGAAGCTTCTAAAGCCATGACATCATTTTCTGGAATTTTCCATGCTGTTTAAAGGCACAGTCAACTTAGTGTATGTAAACTTCTGACACACTGGAATTGTGATACAGTGAATTATAAGTGAAATAAATTGTCTGTAAACAATTGTTGGAAAACTTGTGTCATGCACATAGTAGATGTCCTAGCCAACTTGCCAAAACTATAGTTTGTTAACAAGAAATTTGTGGAGTGGTTGAAAAACGAGTTTTAATGACCCCAACCTAAGTGCATGTAAACTTCCGACTTCAACTGTATGTGAAGGAAGAAACCACATGGGAAAGGGCTAAGCAAGTTAAGTCCAAAAAACGGATTCTCACTAAGACAAATTAATTTATTGCGTTCGACGTTTCATGTTGCTTGTATCTAAACCAAAGTAGATAATTTTAAGATTGTTCTATACATCAGTTGAGGTCTCTATAAGCTTCAACATGCGGTCCTTAACCTAGCATTAAAGTGCATCCTTTAAGTTTTGTGTTCAAATATAGGCAAAATGTTTGCCTTGGGGTATGTTGAGCCAATGGTTGAGGCATTGGCAAGTGGAGCAAATTGAAGTGTTTTCCTGCAAGGCATTATCGCTGGGATATGAGGCAACAGGGCCTGGCTTAATGTTAAACGTGTTTAAGTACAAAGTGTTTGTTAGGTGTTAAGCCTGTGTTAAAAGATGCATAAAATGAATAAAAGACAAAAAGCGATTGTGATTGTGTTGAATTGTGTTTGGGAAATAAAGATAGACATGATTTTAAAAAGGCAGCGGTAATATTTAATTCAGAATGTACATTTGTAGGCGGTTTAACTTAGCATGTCCCACGGCTCAATTTACCCCATACCTGGAGTAAGTTGTGCCAAGAGACCACTTTTTTGGACAAGCTATGTTTTCAAAACTGTCATGTTTACATGAATTCTGATTATTTCCAGGGATACACAACATCCTGAAATATACAGTACTAGTCTAAAGTTTGGACACACCTACTCATTCAAGGGTTTTTCTTTATTTTTACTATTTTCTACATTGTAGTAAAATAGTGAAGACATCAAAACTATGAAATAACACATGGAATCATGCAGTAACCAAAAAAGTGTTAAACAAATCAAAATATATTTTATATAGCCACCCTTTGACTTGATGACAGCTTTGCACACTCTTGGCATTCTCTCAACCAGCTTCACCTGGAATGGTTTTCCAACAGTCTTGAAGCAGTTCCCACATATGCTGAGAACTTGTTGGCTGTTTTTCCTTCACTCTGCCGTCCGACTCATCCCAAACCATCTCAATTGTGGAGGCCAGGTCATCTGATGCTGCACTCCATCACTCTCCTTCTTGGTAAAATAGCCCTTACACAGCCTGGAGGTGTGTTTTGGGTCATTGTTCTGTTGAAAAACAAATTATAGTCCCACTAAACCCAAACCAGATGGGATGGCATATTGCTGCAGAATGCTGTGGTAGCCATGTTGGTTAAGTCTGCCTTGAATTCTAAATAAATCACAGACAGTGTCACCAGCAAAGCACCCCCACACCATAACACCTCCTCCTCCATGCTTTACGGTGGGAACTACACCTGCGGAGATCATCTGTTCACCCACACCGCATCTCACAAAGACACAGCGGTTGGACCCAAAAATCTCAAATTTGGACTCCAGACCAAAGGACAAATGTCCATTGCTCGTGTTTCTTAGCCCAAGCAGGTCTCTTCTTGTTATTGGTGTCCTTTAGTAGTGGTTTCTTTGCAGCAATTCGACCATGAAGGCCTGATTCACACAGATCCCTCTGAACAGTTGATGTTGAGATGTGTCTGTGACTTGAACTCTGTGAAGCATTTATTTGGGCTGCAATTTCTGAGGCTGGTAACTCTAATGAAATTATCCTCTGCAGCAGGGGTAACTGGGTCTTCCATTCCTGTGGCGGTCCTCATGAGAACCAGTTTCATCATAGCGCTTGATCGTTTTTGCGACTGCACTTGAAGAAACTTTAAAAGTTCTTGAAAGTTTCCGTATTGACTGACCTAAACGTCTTAAAGTAATGATGGACTGTCATTTCTCTTTGCTTATTTGAGCTGTTCTTGCCATAATATGGACTTGGTCTTTTAACAAACGCTTTAAGAAGGAAATAAATTCCACAAATTAACTTTTAAGAAGGCACACCTGTTAATTGAAATACTTTCCAGGTGACTACCTCATGAAGCTGGTTGAAAGTATTCCAAGAGTGTGCAAAGCTGTCATCAAGGCAAAGGGTGGCTATTTGAAGAATCTCAAATATAAAATATATTTAGATTTGTTCCATATGTGTTATTTCATAGTTTTGATGTCTTCACTATTATTCTACAATGTAGAAAACTGTAAAAAATAAAGAAAAACCCTTGAATGAGTAGGTCTGTCCAAACTTTTGACTGGTAGTGTATGTAAATATCTTTGTTAGAGATAATACTATATTTCCCTTGATGGAGAGATGCTGAATGTAAAAAAGTTCTCAACTTACCCCACAATCCCCTACATGTAAATGCACTCAAAAATGTAAACACGTCACACAACCACTCTTTTGCACATGCGTGTCCAACATAACATACAGTACCTCTCCTCGTCTAAGCCTCCGGCAGCTACGTCTACTGACTCAAAGCCAAAGTCCACCTCTTCAACCCCCATGTCTTTTCTCTCTACCTCCATCTTCTCTGTCTCGTTGGCTCCCTTAACATGTAACCAGTCGTCCTCAGCTGGTGTAGCAGTGGTTGGAGAGGTCTTGTCAAGCACTTCTGCCTCTGAACCCCTCTCAATGTCCTCGCTAACAGTGTCTGCGAAGAACTTAGGGGTTTCTGTGAAGGACTCCATGACAATGGCAGTTTCTGTAAAGGTCAAGCTCTCCATGCTCTCCTCCAGTCCCTTCTCAAAGACAGTCTCTGCCTCTGAACCCCTCTCAATGTCCTCGCTTACAGTATCTGTGAAGGCCTCAGTGACCATAGCGGTATCTGTGAAGGTCCAGCTCTCCCCACTCTCCTCCAGTCCCTTCTCACAGACTATAACTTCTGGTGATATCTCCTTTGAGTGAAGAATTGTGACAAAGCTCCCTTCGGAGACCATGCTTGAGGTTAATGATATTGAACCCTCTGTGGCTTCCTGACTGGTGGCTTGATTGTCTTCCTGAGAGAGAGACAGCAAGCCCTCAAGGGAGTCTGTCTGCCTGGTGAATGAGGAGTCCATTGAAGGAGTTCCATCGGAGAAAGTGGAACTGAGGCGTTTTTTCGAGCGGGGAACTGGAACAGGCATGCTTGATTGTTCTATGTTTAGTCTACTCCTCCTCCTACGCAGAGGAGCAACCACCACTTCACTAGATGCTGCAGGCTGGCACCCAGGGGGTACGGGAGGAAGACTACTGCTCCTCTTGCTGCGTCGAGGTGGTTCAAGCACAGAGGCTGAGGCTGCATGTGAACGTCCTCTCTCTCTGGTAGAATCGTTGTCATCCCCACTAGAGGCATGCCGGGTCTTTGGTCTGGTAGCATCTAAATGGACAGGAGGGGTCGGGTCTCGTTTCCCACGAGGCTTTGGGACTGGTAAGTACTCCTGCTTGTCCTCAGTCTTTACTTCTGGCGCAGTGTCCTCTGTCAATGCCTTCTGAGCTGCACTGTAAAGGAAAACTGTAATTTATGCGCTAATTTGGGGTATTATCAACAGTAAAATACTGTGAAAGCATTTTACTGCAGCATACTGTAAATTATGGTGCATTGTGGGAAATTGTTGTGGGTGGGGAAATAATTTGGATATTTTGAATGGTACTGTAATTCCATCCCACTGAATACAGTACCGTACCGTATATTTGGAGCGCCAAAAACCTTTTGACCACTAGTGGGTGCATGGTATTGTTGTTTCTGGCTCATTAACATATTTTGAGGCATGTCTTGTAAGAGGCTATATTTGTTGCACCTGTTAGAGAAAGCTGTACCAATTTAACTGGTCTGTGGTAGTAGTGACCCATCAAACTAAAATATATAGGGGACAGGATTGGAGTTGCAACAAGTCTTAAACCTTCAATGGTTGAGCATTTTGCCATGTCCTTTTGGTCTGTTTTGCCCTGTAGTCGCAGCCTGTTAAGAAGCCTTTGTTAAGGCCTCTAGAAGTGGAAGTGATATAAAACACCAAATATCAATTGATATGCTGTGATATGTAAACACATTACCTAGCAGCCAACCTGCTTGCACCAATCCCATGTAATTACAGTAAAATAATGTGAAATACAAACCCCAATCCCCTCAATGAATTTAATTCATCCATTCATTCATTAGATTACAGTAGCATTGACTTTTTTACAGTATAATACAGTCAATTCTACGGTATGTCATTGTACAGTACTTGCTATGATACCGTTTTAAGATTACAGTAGGCGTACTGCAATATGAAATACAGGAACTTACTTGCCAATGAGCGGCCTATAAATTACTGGCTTATCTTCAACTGGCTCAGTGGACATTTCTGTGACTTCCTGAGACTGCATCTCAGCCTCAACCTTTTCAAACGAGTCTATCATCAGATCCTCTATATGGCCTGGTGCTGTAGACCCCTGGTTGGCAGCATTCAGGGCCTCTACAACCACAGCCTCATCTTCTGCTTTGCCTGATTCCACTGGGGGAGAATTTGTTTTCTTGCTGCGCCTTGGCGGGGCTATTTTTCTGATGATCAAGAGGGGGGCAGTCTCTCTCACACCAAAGTCCGGGTACGACTCTGTCGGTACATGATCTGGTGTTAGGGGAACAGTTGTGACCTGACCAGTAGCACTCTCTAAATTATCAGCTTTCTGACGAGGTTCGGGAGAGGGAGATGCTTTCCTTGTGCGCTGAGGTGGAATCAGCTTAGTAACCGCCTGGGCAATCAGATTCTCTGGCTCATCAGCTTTCGGAGTTGGCTGTGGTAGAATCAGTTCAGTGGCTACCTGGCCAAGTTTCTCTGAAGGTTCTGCACTGGAGGCTCTAGAGGTTCTACTTGGCCGCGGAGGTGGGACCAGGCCAGTTGCCTGTGTTGATGTGTCTTTAGTGAAGCTTTCCTTTCTCCTCAAAGGTCGGTGTGGAGACTCTGCAGGAAGACTACTGTCTCTTTTCTTAGTACGGCGAGGAGGGACCACGTCTATGTGCGCCTGGACAGGGGCATCAGCTTTCTGTTGGGGCTCTGTTGAAAGACTACAGTCTCTTTTACTACCAGGCCGTGATGGGACCACCTCAGCAGCTGCCTGGGAAGTGAAACCCTTCTGACCATCAGCTTTCTTTAGAGGTTCTGTTGAAAGACTATTGTCTTTTCTCTTCGGACAGCAGGAAGCGACTACTTCAATGGGCTTCTGTACAGATACATTCTCAGATTTCTGTTTGCGCTCTGGAGTGAGGCTGTCATTTCTCCTTAGAGGCTGTGAAGCAACTACATTAAATACAATCCCTTGAGCATCAGCTTGCTGTTGAGTTTCTGGTGGAAGACTTCCCTCTCTTTTCTTCACACGATGAGGAGCGACCAGTTTAGTCGTTACCTGTGCAGGGACAGCCTGGGTAGCCACACTTCCTTGGTCATCTGCTTTTTGTTGAGACTCTTGTGGAAGGGATCGCTTTTTCTTTCTGCCTCTCTGAGGGGGGACAACTTCTGATTGTGTTTCAACTGAGGTGACTGGGGTGACAGTCTGATCTTCAGAGGGTTTATCTGGGATGGGTACTATATGTTCTTCAGACTTGTCCTCTACCAGCAACTTGTCTGCAGTAGGTTGTGAGGTAGACACAGAGGCTTCCTCTGTGCTTGCGTGTTGGGGGCTTAAAGAAAAAAAAAGTTATGTCTCAGGTCTTGCTATAGAATTAGATTCCATTAAAGGCCTAACTTCTCACTTTAAACAACGTTTTTTTGTTTAATTATATTATCAAAAAAGCAACCTTACAACAATGATTTTTCACAAAAGCCACATTCCATAAGCTAGCAAATGACTAAATAGAGACAGTTGCATACCCAAGTCCACTGAGGAGATACTGAAGAAGTGTTACAAGGGAACAACGCAACACAGTGAACAGTTATAACTCATACAAATCGTCCATGTTTTTTTCCTTAAATTACAAGCATGCGCACACACACATATTTGTCACACGTCTGACATAGCAGCATAAACAGTACAAAGACACTGATGACATGGATCCACAAACAAGTGCTTTAAACATCAAGAAGCCGCTTAAACACATCCAACATTCTGTACTGTAGACTTGTCCATCACAGTTCACTGAGTAGCAAGCATTGCTGAGCAAAACATTATGCAAACAAGAGACAATGTTATAACTGCAACTAAACATATTTGTATTCTCAAGCCGTGCAGGCAAATAGTTCCGAGACGGGTTTGCTGCCAGGACACTCACCCCTTGTCCAGGTGTAATGAAGGTGATAATTCTGTCTTGATAGGTGACCCTGCTGAAAAAACTTCAACATAACCTGTTATCTGTCCAGAATCCTGCACTTTGAATGTTGACTTCTCCCCTACTTGCGCCCATGAGTCAAGGGTAACCTCTTCTTCCCCAGTTACCACAAACTCTCCTCTGGAGATCTCAGTAAGGTCAGCCTCCGTCAACGGCGGCCATTTTCTCATACTGCTTCGGCCTTCGACTCCAACAAACCCATCCTCACTGTCTTGTCTCACTGCCGATGGAGAGTTGGATTGCTTGTCTTCCAGAGTAAACAAGGATGACTCAGTAGTGGTTGGGAGCTCTATAGTTGGTTTGGTTTCACCCTCAACATGCAGTGCCTCTCCAGACACTGCTTCCTGAATGAGGGTAGATATATCTGGGACAGGTTCAGAGGAGCTCTCAGATGGGACTGCACTGTCCTCTGGGTCCACAATGCTACTGTCTGCATCTTCTGTTGGAGGGGAACCAGACGGACCCAAAATGGCTGCTACTGTTTCATAACTGTGAGAGAAGGATACTAACTGTAAGTGAGGGATTGAGCCCTAAAACAAGAGTGATACACATTGGGAGCATGCCAACCATATACAAAGTCTCAAGTCTTCTCAGAAATCAAGGTGAATAAACACAGATCGTTCAAACTTCAATCATCAAGAAATGTATTTTATTAATCGCATACGAAAGATGCTCAAAGTTCTACATTTGATCAAATTGTCAATCCATGATGAAAATAGAAAATGCCATCACATGCAAACAGAAATCTAAACAACTAGTGAACATGAGGGTGACACTGGTGAATATAATGACCTTAAGTGGACTCGTGAGTCAGAATGCTACTACTTTCTAAAAAGTAAGCACACTACACATTTTGCCTCACACCAATCTCCCACTTACCCTCTGGAGAAGACACCAACAATAGTCTGTAGAAGGCCAGAGGCCTCCTCCAGCTTCTCTGCCACAGAACCCTCAGCCTCCAGCACCTCCCACCCCAAGACTTGCTCTGGTTCTGACACTGCTGAGGGCTTTTGGATCTCCTCAGATGTGACCTTCTCTATTTGTGGGCTGCTGAGGACACTAACATGAGAGGTGAACATTGAAAAGAACATCCCCACAGAATCCATGCCACGCACAGAAAAACACACTAAGTTGTTGGTATGCACCACAACGACTCATCCGTCACAAATTCAGTAAGAATATCAATCCATAATATATGATCGTCATTTAAGAGGCTCACAGACCTAAAACACATCTCAGATGCAGAACATCTTGAAAACGACCAAATGCCATGCAGTCTTTAAAACTAACTGTTTAGTGTTTCCAGAGACCTATAATTAATTGCAATATGAGTGAAATAGTTTTCCTTCCAAACATTTTAATTAAGTATGTTAAAAAGCAGCTTTTCTCTTTTGGAATGGTGTGGGCGTACTCCAACAACAGAATGGTGTGGGCGTATACTGGTCAAAATATTCATGCAAGTAGACCGCTGATTGGCCAGCTCATAATGACATCATCCTCTATCAGGAAATAGCAAGCACTTTTGAAACAGTCTGTTGGCGGGTTTTTAAGTGTTTTTTCTCCAATGTATGCTTCGGCCACAAATATGAGTTAACAGGATATTAACTTTTAAAAGTGAGATTTTCACTGGACAGTTACTTCAGAGGTTTGCCAGAGCTCAAATATCTGGCTTTCCAGTAGCAATGGCAGGCCAAATAAGACAAACAACAACATATCAGTACCACTGCAATCCATGCAGAGAGCCATATGCTCAAACACTTACCCCTTATCTAGAACATACTCTGCTGGTTCCCCAGCAACCTCTTTCTCCTCTGTCTGCATACTTGTCTCTTAAAAACCAAAAGCAAATATAATGTTGCATTCCACTTGCTATGCGAGTCACTGGAAATAGGATATTACATGCTTAACCACACATATCTTACCATGTGCCTCTACAGACTCTGCACCGTGAGGGGGCGCAGACGGAAAACCAGGAATGCTTGCTGCCTCGGGGCAAGATGGTGCCAGTGCAACCATAGTTTTAAGGCCTTCATCTCCAACTGCACTGCCTAGGTCAGGCTTGGAAAGCACGGTATCTTCTGACCTATCCTTCAATGGTTTTTCATACAATGGCTGCATAGAACTCACAGATTCTTCTCCCTGGGCCAGAGCCAATTCAATTGGCTGTCTAGAAGGTAATCCAGGTACTGTAGATTCATTTGGACAAGATAGGAGTAAAGCAGACATGGTTTGTTCTTCCATTGCTTTAGGTTGTAGTAAGGACAGGAATCCAGGAGTGAGACTTTCACATGCCACTATATTTTTCATATTTTCTTTGTCTGCTGACCTATCTTTGATTATTATGGTCTTATCTTTCAGTGTCTTCTCAAACAGAGGCTTCTGTTCAACGTGCCAATTTCCTGTCTGGACTTTGGCCGTAGATGGCAAACCTGGTAGACTGGAGATTTTGAGGCAAGATTGTGTGAAATCCACACTATCTACTTTCTTCTTAGGTTGTGGTGCAGAGGGGAAGCTAGGAATCCCGGCTGCTTCTGGGCAACATGGCACCAAAGCAACCATTGCTCTTGTTTTGTCAATGTCTTCTTTTGATCCTCCTTTTGGGAGAATGTTTTCTTCTTTCTTCTTCTTCTGCAAGTGCTCAAACATAGGCTTGGGGTCAACTAGCCATTCTAAATGTGTAGCCCCCTCAGTGGATGCAAAACCAGGGAGACTGGAAACTTTAGAGCAAGCGGGCACAAGACTCAACATACTTAGATCTACCTCAGCTTTGGAATGTGGTGCAGAGGGGAAGCCAAGAATACTTGCTGCAATAGGGCATGATGGTACCAGATCCACCATTCCTTTCATTTCTTGTTTGTCTTTTTCTGATATTTCCATCAATAAAATCAGATTCTTCTTCATTTGCTTCTCCCATAATGGTTGATGCTCCTTGGGTGGGTCTGTGTGACAATCTTTTCTTTCAGTTTGCTGATTGGATGGGAAACCTGCAATACTGGAGACTTTTGGACACAATGGAAGAAGGTTGATCATATTTGGCCCATAATATACTACTTTGGGTTGTGGTACAGAAGGGAAACCAGGCACCAAAGACATATTTGGACAGGATGGAACCAGAGCCAACATCCCTTTCATATGGTCTTCGTCTTCTTCTGATCTTTCCAATATCACAACTGGCTTTTTCTTCATTTCCTTCTCCCATAATGGCTGATGATCCTCGGGCTGATCTGTGTGCCAATCTTTTCTGTCAGTTTGCTGACGGGATGGGAAACCTGCAATACTGGAGACTTTTGGACATGATAGACTGATCATCCTTGGCCCATAATAGACCTCTTTGGGTTGTGGTACAGATGGGAAACCAGACACCAGAGACATTTTTGGACAGGATGGAACCAGAGCCACCATTCCTTTCATACTTTCTTTGTCTTTTTCTGATCTTTCCATTATAACAACAGGCTTCACCTTCATTTTCTTCTCCCATAATGGCTGATGTTCCTCGGGCTGATCTGTGTGCCAATCTTTTCTTTCAGTTTGCTGACGGGATGGGAAACCTGCAATACTGGAGACTTTTGGACATGATAGACTGATCATCCTTGGCCCAAAATAGACCTCTTTGGGTTGTGGTACAGATGGGAAACCAGACACCAGAGACATTTTTGGACAGGATGGAACCAGAGCCACCATTCCTTTCATACTTTCTTTGTCTTTTTCTGATCTTTCCATTATAACAACAGGCTTCACCTTCATTTTCTTCTCCCATAATGGCTGATGATCCTCGGGCTGATCTGTGTGCCAATCTTTTCTTTCAGTTTCCTGACGGGATGGGAAACCTGCAATACTGGAGACTTTTGGACACAATGGAAGAAGGTTGACAATACTTGGCCCATAATATACTACTTTGGGTTGTGGTACAGATGGGAAACCAGGGGTACGAGCCACTTTCGGACAAGATGGTACCAGAGCCAACATTCCTTTAATTTCTTGTTTGTGTTTTTGTGATATTTCCATCAATAACATGAGCTTCTTCTTCAATTGCTTCTCCCATATTGGCTGATGATCCTCAGGCTGATCTGTGTGCCAATCTTTTCTGTCAGTTTGCTGACGGGATGGGAAACCTGCAATACTGGAGACTTTTGGACATGATAGACTGATCATCCTTGGCCCATAATAGACCTCTTTGGGTTGTGGTACAGATGGGAAACCAGACACCAGAGACATTTTTGGACAGGATGGAACCAGAGCCACCATCCCTTTCATACTTTCTTTGTCTTTTTCTGATCTTTCCATTATAACAACAGGCTTCACCTTCATTTTCTTCTCCCATAATGGTTGATGATCCTCGGGCAGATCTGTGTGCCAATCTTTTCTGTCAGTTTGCTGATGGGATGGGAAACCTGCAATACTGGATACTTTTGGGCATGATAGACTGATCATACTTGGCCCATAAAATACTACTTTGGGATGTGATACAGATGGGAAACCAGGGATATGAGCCACTTTGGGACAAGATGGAACCAAAGCCACCATTCCTTTCATCTTGGCTTTGTCTTTTTCTGATCTTTCCATTATCAAAACTGGGTTCACCTTAATTTTCTTCTCCCATAATGGCTGATGATCCTCGGGCAGATCTGTGTGGCAATCTTTTCTGTCAGTTTGCTGACGGGATGGGAAACCTGCAATACTGGAGACTTTTGGACACAATGGAAGAAGGTTGAGTATAGTTGGCTCAAAATAGACATCTTGGGGTTGCGGTACAGAGTGGAAGCCAGAAATCATGGGTGCTTCTGGGCAACATGGCACCAAAGCAATCATTGCTTTCATTTTTTCAATGTCTTCCTTCCTAAATGTGTCTTTTGGAAAAATGTCTTCTTCTTTCTTCTTCTTCTGCAAGTGCTCAAACATAGGCTTGGGCTCAACAAGCCACTCTAATGTTGTAAACCCCTCAGTGGATGTGAAGCCAGGGAGACAGGAAACTTCAGGGAAAGTGGGAACAAGACTCAACATATTGGGTTGTGGTGCAGATGGGAAGCCAGGGATCCTTGCAGCATCAGGACATGAAGGTCTCAAAGGAACGTTGGTTTTCATTTCCTCTTTGTCTACCTTTAAGCTGTCAATAATGACTTTCCTATCCTTTAACGGTCTCTTGAACAATGAGCTCTGATCAAAAACCCACCCTGCTTCCCTATTCCTCTCAATGGATGGAAAACCAGGGAGACTAGAAACTTTAAGGCAGGAGGGAACAAGATTCACACTACTTATCCCCACTTCAGCTTCTGGATGTGGTGCAGAGGGGAAGCCAGGAATCAGGGATGCTTTTGGGAAACATGGCATCAAAGCAACCATTGCTTTCATTTTTTCACTGTCTTCTTTTGATCTGTCTTTTGGAAACACATTTTCTTCTTCTTTCTTCTTCTTTTTCTGCAAGTGCTCAAACATAGGCTTAGGGTCAACAAGCCACTCTAATGTTGTAGCTCCCTCAGTGGATGCGAAACCCGGGAGACTGGAAACTTTAGGGCAAGCGGGCACAAGACTCAACATACTTAGATCTACCTCAGCTTTGGGATGTGGTGCAGAGGGGAAGCCGGGAATACTTGCTGCAGTAGGGCACGATGGCTCCATAGTCACCGTGTGTTTCATTAGCTCTTCTTGTAATCTGTCCAAATGTGGACTGGACCTAATGGTCACCCCTTCTTTCCCCTTCACTGTCTTCTCCCAAATTGCCTCAGTGTTGATTGTACACTCCTCTACCTGACTTTCAAGAGAAGGGAATCTGAGTGTGCCAGCCACTCTTGGACAGGATGGCATTAGATCTGCCATGTTAGATTCCCTCTCTACCTTGACTTCCTTGGACAGATGTGTAGACGGAAAGCCTGGAATGCTGGCAGTTCTTGGGCAAGATGGGACCATATCTGCCATAACTCTCACCATGTCTCTCTCCTCTTTTGATCTATCCATGGCCAGCTGTGGAGCGTCCTTTGTTGGCTTCTCCAATAATACGCTCGTGTCCACTGGGCAGTCTTCTAATTGAGCCTCTGAACAGGATGTTTGGGTGGATGGAAACCCTGGTGCACTGGCAACTCTTGGGCATGATGAAACCATGTTTTGCGGTCTGAGGAGAGGGTAAACCACGGTCAGAGGTGACTATAACAACCATGAAAGCAGAGTTTTCAACTAAGAACAAAGCAATCAATTGGAAATGACCATCTAAAACGATCACACACAAACCAAAACTCATGCTCAAACATGATCTGACTATTCACAAAAATTACAATTAATAATGCAAACATTTAAATCAAGATAAGAGCCAATCTATGTGCATAAATACCACACAATCAAATGTAAGGGTTTTTTCAAAACCATGCTTGCAAAAATGTATACTGAACAAAAATATAACATGCAACAATTTCAAAGATTTTACTGAGTTACAGTTCATATTAGGAAATCAGTCAATTTAAATAAATGCATTAGGCCCTAATCTATGGATTTCACATGACTGGGAATACAGATATGCATCTGTTGGTCACAGATACCTTAAAAAAAGGTAGGGGCGCGGATCAGAAAACCAGTCAGTATCTAGTGTGACCACCATTTGCCTCATGCAGCTCGACACATCTACTTCACATAGAGTTGATCAGGCTGTTGATTGTGATCTGTGGAATGTTGTCCCACTCCTCTTCAATGGCTGTGCGAACTGGAAAACGCTGTCGTACACGTCAATCCACAGTATCACAAACACGCTCAATGGGTGACATCTCTGATGAGTATTAAGGCCATGGAAAAACTGGGAAATGTTCAGCTTCCAGGAATTCTACCCGGTACAGTTGAAACCGGGATTCATCCGTGAAGAGTACACTTCTCCAGCGTGCCAGTGGTCATCAAAGGTGAGCATTTGCCCACTGAAATCGGTTACGATGGCGAACTGCAGTCAGGTCAAGACCCTGGTGAGGACAACGAGCACGCAGATGAGCTTCCTTGAGACGGTTTCTGACAGTTTGTGCAGAAATTATTTAGTTGTGCAAACCCACAGTTTCATCAGCTGTCCGGGTGGCTGGTCTCAGAAGATCCCGCAAGTGAAGAAGCCGGATGTGGAGGTCCTGGGCTGGCGTGGTTACACGTGGTCTGCGGTTGTGAAGCCGGTTGGACGTACTGACAAATTCTCAATAATTAAGTTGGAGACGGCATATGGTAGAGAAATTAACATGACATTATCTGGCAACAGCTCTGGTGGACATTCCTGCAGTCAGCATGCCAATTGTACGCTCCCTCCAAACTTGAGACATCTGTGGCATTGTGTTGTGTGACAAAACTGCACATTTTAGAGTGGCCTTTTATTTCCCCCAGCACAAGGTGCACCTGTGTAATGATCATGCTGTTTAATCAGCTTCTTGATATGCCACACCTGTCAGGTGGATGGATTATCTTGGCAAAGGATACATGCACACTAATGGATGTAAACAAATTTGTGCACAACATTTTAGAAAAATAAGCTTTTTGTGCATATGGAACATTTCTGGGATCTTTTATTTCAGCTCATGAAACATGGAACCAACACTTTACATGTTGCGTTTATATTATTGTTCAGTGTATATATTCATTAAAATTGTAACTAATAATGCAACATATTGGGAAATTAAATTAAGTCTAGAAGCACAAATCCTACAATTCGATTTCATACCATTCCTGCATTTGGCTAATGCTCTGTTTAAGTAATGTTAAATCCAAACTCCAAAAACAGCAATAGGAATGCAACACCATGCAGATCAACACTACTAAACCAGCACCATGCTGGCAGGTAGTGAGGTTGAGCGCTGTGGCCCTTTCACACTTACCGCATCTCATACACTTTCACCTGCCTAGCCACAGTAACCTCTTCCTTCCCAGAATGCTCCATTCCAGAGACTGACTCTAAGTCTTCCTTTACCGCTTCTTCCTCACATATCATGTCCAAGTCCTCTACAACTTGATACTCTGCTAGTGCCACAATCTCATTGTCAACAGTTGCTCCCATCCCATACGGCAATGGCTGTCCCCCTTGGATGGGAGGCTGACGCGAACGGCTGAAAGAGCGTGACAGGAAGTGAGAGACCAAATAAATGGGAAGAATTACACAGTGAAAAGCACAGGGCATGCACCTTGCAAGAATAGTGCAAAAAACACAGTAGTGTCAGACAGATGTGGAGCAGATGGTGCAAAAGCATTATTGTAAGCAGTCAAACAAGAACAGCTGCACTCCTGCAGCAAACCAACACAACCCACCTCTCTCTGACAGTCAAGAATAATGGCATGTCTGTAGGAATGGAGTGCCACATTCGGCAGTGCAAGTGTCTGAAAACAGAGTTGAAATGCAAGTGTTTCATACTCTATCTGACAGGCAACTGACAGGCAGAGAAATGTGCTTTAAAGTCTCATAAAAGTGCCATAATGCAGATTTAGAATCGTCTCCTCTCCTACTCCTATTCACTCACCCTCTTTCTAGAACGCCCACTTCTTGCGCCTCATATCTGGTCTGAATGACCCCCTCTTCCTTGAGCCTCTCCAAAACTGAGCCATGTTTAAATTCTTGTTTGTTCTCATTCACCACTGCTTTGATTAGTTTGGGTTTGTGGCTAAGCTCTGTTTGGCCCTCCTTGCAGTCATATATCTCCTCCGCCCACTCAGGCCTTTTACCTCGACTTGACTGTTGATTGAGAGACGAATCACTGTGGAGAGGCGTTTGACAATGTGTCGATGGAAAGCCAGGTGCAATGGCCTCACTTGGGCAAGATGGCAACATAGACACCATTCCCTTCTCTAATTCATCATGAGTGGGAGCCAGAGACTGCACTGTTTTCTCTTTCAGTGACTTTTCCCAAAATGGCCTCTCCTCCACGGGCCACTGATGAATTGGAGCATCCTCTTGATTTTGCGTCTTTGTGGATGAAATCCCTTGGACATGTGTAACCATTTGGCAAGTTGGCAAAAGACTGGGCATGTTTGGCTCTTGTTCTTCTTTAGGCCATGGTGCTGATGGAAAGCCAGGTATACTAGCTTCTTTTGGGCAAGATAATAACATAGCTGCCATTCCGTTGGCATCATCTGATCTACTGACTCCAATAGCTGGAATCTCTTTCTGTGTTTTCTGCCATAATGGTCCATGCTCCACAGCCCAGTACTCTACTAAAACCTTATCTACTTTCTCTAGTTGTAAAGAGGGAAAGCCAGACACTTTGGCAACATTGGAGCATGACGATTTAACTGTGGAAGTAATATATTGCTCTGCCTTGGGTCTTGGGGCAGAGGGAAAACCAGGTATTTTGGCTTCTTCTGGGCACGTTGGCTCCAGGGCCATCATATGTCTATCAAACTCTTTGTCGTCTTTTGATCTACTCATAACTGGGGATGAAAGTACAGTCACAGAGAGCCTCGCCTTCACTGGCTTCTCTAACAATGGCTTTTGGTCAGCTGGCCAACCCTTAACTGGATCCTGCTCTGCTAGTTCTATCTTTACGGATGGGAGCCCAATAACATTAGGAATGTTGGGGCAAGATAGCACAATATTCACCATACTCGGAAGCTTCTCTATTTTGAGCTGTGGCACAGATGGAAAGCCCGGACATAGAGCAACACTTGGACAGGATGGTACAAGAGATAACATTGCCTTTATCATGAGTGTGTCTCTGTCACAACGGTCTCCCTCAAATGGAGAGCATTCCAGAGTATTAGCAACCCTCGTTGGTGGTGTCTCCCATAGTACACTCTTGACTGTCGGCCAGCCCTCTACATAAGCATAATCAGACATGACTGACTGTCTTGAAGGAAAACCAATTATACTAGAAACTTCCGGGCAAGATCGGGAAAGATAAGTCATGCATGGCTTTTTCTCTACTTCAACATGAGCATCTTTTGCTTGTGGAACCGATGGGAAGTTAGTAAGGGTGGCTTTTGCTGGGCATGACAGCACCATACTTGTCAATATTTCTCTGTCTTTAAATGACATTTCCTCAGATGGACAAAGCTGAAGAGATGGGAAACCTGGACTCAAAGCAACACTTGGACAGGATGGTATAAGAGATAACATTGCCTTTATCATGACTTTGTCTCTGTAACAACAGTCTCCTTCAAATGGAGAGCAATCCAGAGTCTCCAGAGTATTAGCAACCCTCGTTGGTGATTTCTCCCAGACTACACTTTTGACCATCGGCCAGCCCTCTACATAACCATCATCCGACATGATCAATTGTCTTGAAGGAAAACCAATGATACTAGACACTTCCGGGCAAGATGGGAAAAGGGAAATCATGCATGGCTCTTTTTCTACTTCAACATGAGCAGTTTGGGCTCGTGGAGCCGATGGGAAGCCAGGAAGGGTGGCTTTTGCTGGGCATGAATGGACCATACTTGTCATTATTTCTCTGTCTCTGAATGACATATCCTCAACTGGAGAAAGCTGGAGATTAAGCCCCTCTCCTTTCCTCAATGATTTAACCCAAAATGGCTCCCTGTCAACATGCCAGACATCATGTCCTGCCTTGGATGGACGTCTTGAGACGAAACCTGAAGCCCTTGCATGTTTCGGGCAGGTAGGCCATAGATGTACCATGCTTGGGATCACCCTAACATGAGCCCTATCCGACTTGTGCCGTGACGATGAGGGAAAGCCTGGAATGGTGGCTTTTATTGGGCAAGGTGGTAACATAGACACCATAATTCTTATCATTGCTCTCTCTTTGAATGATAATCTTTGCACTGGACAAAGGGCTAGTGTGTCTCTGTTATTTAATGGCCTCTCCCACAGTGGCCTCTTGTCCACACACCAGCCATCTTTATCTGAATTGTTAGGAAGTCTAGAAGGTAAGCCAGAAACTTTAGAAAGTTTAGGGCAAGTCTGCAGAAGACTGATCATGCTTGGTGTGTCTGCAAATTTATTCCCAGGTACAGAGGGGAAGCCTGGAATCACAGATGATTCAGGACAAGATGGCATCAAAGCAAACATTGCTTTCATTTTGTCAATGTCTTCCTTTGATCCGTCTTTTGGAAAAACGTCTTCCTTCTTCTTCTTCTGCAAGTGGTCAAACATAGGATTCGGGTCAACAAACCACTCTGTTTTACCCCCCTCAGTGGATGCGAGACCCGGGAGGCTGGAAACTTTAGGGAAAGTGGGAACAAGACTCAACATATTGGGTTGTGGTGCAGATGGGAAGCCAGGGATCCGTGCAGCATGAGGGCATGATGGCCTCAAAGGAACGTTGGTTTTCATTTCCTCTTTGTCTACCTTTAAGCTGTCAATAATGACTTTCCTCTCCTTTGGAAGTCTCTTGAACAATGGCCTCTCGTAAACTACCCACCCTGTTTCCCTATTCCCCACAATGGATGGAAAACCAGGGAGACTAGACATTTTAGGGCAGGAGGGAACAAGACGCATCATACTTGGTGCCTCCTCAGCCTTTTTATATGGTGCAGAAGGGAAACCAGGAATCATGGATGCTACTGGGCAACATGGCACCAAAGCAACCATTGCTTTCATTTTGTCACTGTCTTCTTTTGATTGGTCTTTTGGAAAAACATATTCTTCCTCCTCCTTCTTTTGCAAGTGTTCAAACATAGGCTTTGGGTCAACAAGCCACTCTAATGTTGTAGGCCCTTCAATGGATGCGAAACCCGGGAGACTGGAAACTTTAGGGCAAGCAGGAACAAGACTCAACATACTAAGATCTATCTCAGCTTTGGGATGTGGTGCAGAGGGAAAACCAGGAATCCTGGCCTTCTTCGGGCAAGATGGTAACATATCTACCATGTTATTTGTAAATTCTTTGTTCTCGTGTGGCATTGCCTGTACCAAAGAAACTGTTATTTTCTTAAATGGCCTCTCCAAAAGAGGCCTCCTGTTAGCATGCCAGACAACATTTTCAGACTTATGCAGATGTCTAGAAGGTAAACCAAAAACTCTGGAAAGTCTAGGACAAGTAGGCAGAAGGTTAATCATAATTGGCTCTTGCCTTGGTGCAGAGGGGAAGCCAGGAATACTGGCTGCTCTTGGGCAGGATGGTGTAAGAGCAACCATGGTGCTGACCATTTCACTATCATTATAGACTGTGCCAAAATTATCTAATAATCCTGACCTTTCTCTTGGTGACATATTCAAAGAATCTTTATCTACTGGCCAATCTGGTGCCTGATTCTGATCCAAAGCTGGCAATCCAGAAACGGTCGATACCTTTGGGCAAGTAGGCACAAGATTCACCATACTTGGAGTTTCTACTGATCTCTGCCTTGGTGCAGAAGGGAAGCCAGGTACACTGGCTTTCCTGGGGCAAGACGGTACCATAGCTACCATATGTTTCAGATCTTTGTCTTTATCATGAGCTGGAGAAATGTCTAGAATTGGCTCACCCCTTTCCCTCAATGGCTTCTCCCAGAGTGGCACTCTGTCCACAAGCCAATCTTCATCTCTAGACCTGATTCGCTCTCTAGAGGGTAAACCAGAAACCTTAGAAAGTTTAGGGCAAGTAGGCAGAAGACTGCTCATACTTGGTGGGTCTTCTAGCTTCAACTGCGGTGCAGAGGGGAAGCCTGGAATCCTGGCCTTATTCGGGCAAGATGGTAACATATCTACCATATTTTTTGTAAGTTCTTTATCCTTGTGTGGCATTTCCTGCACGTAAACTGTACTTTTCTTCAATGGCCTCTCCAAAAGTGGCCTGTTAGCATACCAGTCATCATTTTCTGACTTATGCAGATGTCTAGAAGGTAGACCAAAAACTCTGGAAAGTCTAGGATAAGTAGGCAGATGATTAATCATACTTGGCTCTTGCCTTGGAGCAGGTGCACTGGCCTTCCAGGGGCAGGATGGTGACAAAGCTACCATATTCTTCACAAGTTCAGTATCATGATAGACTCTGCCAACATCCTCCAAATGGAACATTGATTCTTCTGGCCTTTCTCTAGGTGTCAACAGTGACTCTTTATCAACTGGCCACTCTACTGTTTGTGTCTGTTCGATAGCTGCCAATCCAGGAACTCTAGATTCCCTTGGACAATTTGGCATTATGTCAACCATACTTGGCTCTTGCCTTGGTGCAGATGGAAAGCCAGGGACACTAGCCTTCCTTGGGCAAGATGGTAACATGACCACCATATTTTTCATAAGCTCATTGTCCTTGTGTGGTATTTCCTGCATTAGACATGCTGTTATTTTCCTCAATGGTCTCTCCAAGAGTGGCCTGCTGTTAGCATGCCACTCAACATTTTCAGACATAATTGGCTGTTTGGAGGGTAAACCAGAAACTCTAGCCAGTCTAGGGCAAGTAGGCAGAAGGTTAACCATATTCAGCTCTTGCGTTGGTGCAGAAGGGAAGCCAGGAATACTGGCCTTCCTGGTGCAAGATGGCAACATGGCTACCATATTTTTCATAATTTCAGTGTCTTTGAATGGCTTTTCCTGATCTTGTGAAATAACTCCCTCTCTTTTCTTCAATGGCCTCTCCCACAGTGGAACTCTGTCCACAAGCAAATCTTTATCTCTAGACCTGATTGGCTCTCTAGAGGGTAAACCAGAAAGCCTAGAGAGTCTAGGGCAAGTAGGCAGAAGGTTAACCATATCTGGCTCTTGCCTTGGTGCAGAGGGGAAACCAGGTACACTGGCCTTCCTTGGGCAAGATGGTACCATACCTGCCATATTTTCCACAATGTCTTTATTTTTATAATGAGCTAAAGAAATTGGTAGGATAAGCACATCCCTTTTCCTCAATGGCTTCTCCCACGGTGGTATTCTGTCCACAAACCAATCTTCATCTCTAGACGTGGTTGGCTGTTTGGAAGGCAAACCAGAAACTCTAGCCAGTCTAGGACATGTAGGCATAAGGTTTACCATACTGGGCTCTTGCATGGGTGCAGATGGAAATCCAGGGATAGTTGCCTTCCTTGGGCAAGTTGTCAACATGGCTACTATGTCTTTCATCATTTCAGTGTCTTTGAATGCCATTTCCTGATCTTGTAAAATAAGTCCCTCTCTTTTCTTCAATGGCTTCTCCCACAGTGGACTGCAGTCCACATTCCAGTCAATATCATCAGAATTGTTTGGAAGTCTAGAGGGTAAACCAGGTACTCTGGGAAGTTTAGGGCAAGTAGGATGCCTATTTGACTCTTGCCATGGCGCAGATGCTACAACAGCTACACCAACCTTTTCCAGGCAAGATGGTAACATAGCAACCATATTTTTCATAAGTTCTTTGTGCTCATTTGACATTGCATGTGCTACAGAAAGTGATGGGATCAGCTCAACTGTTTTCCTCAATGGCTTTTCTATTATTGGCCCCCTTATAGCATGCCAGTAGTCAGGCTCTGACTCAGTTGGATGTCTAGAGGGTAAACCAGAAACTATGGAAAGTTTAGGGCAAGTAGGAAGAAGATCATACTTCATGATCATTCTTGGGGATCCTAACCTCTGCTTCAGTTTTGAAGGAAAGCCAGGAATACTGGCCTTCCTAGGGCATGATGGTAACATGGCTACCATATATTTCAACATCATTTTGTCTTTATATGCTATGCCAAGAGCTGGAGAAAATGGTTGAATCATCACATCCATTTTCCTCAATGGCTTTTCCCACAGTGGCTTTCTGTCCACAAGCCAATCTTCATCTCTAGAACTGATTGTCTGTGTCGAGGGTAAACCAGAAACCCTAGAAAGTCTAGGGCAAGTAGACAGAATGCTAACCACATTTGGCTCTTGCCTTGGTTCAGAAGGGAGGCCAGCAATACTGGCTGCTTTGAGGCAGGATGGGGGTTCTTTCCTTTGGGCAGAGGTGATGCCAGGAATGCTAGTGAATCGAGGGCAGGATGGTGTCATAGCAAACATATTCCTGGTAATTTCACTATCATGATAGACTGTGTTAACATCCAATAATAATCCTGGCCTCTCTCTTGGTAACTTTGTAAACAATGTCTCTTTCTCTACTGGCCAAACTACTGCCTGTTTTGGTTTCTGATTTAAAGCTGGCCATCCAGGAACTATAGATACCCTTAGACAAGTTGGAAGAAGACTCACCATATTCGGCACTTGCCTTGGTGCAGAAGGGAAGCCAGGCACACTAGCCTTCTTTGGGCAAGATGGTAACATGGCTGTCATGTTTTCCATCATTTTAGTATCTTTGAATGTTTTTTCATGATCTTGGGAAATATGTAAAATAAGCCCCTCTCTTTCCTTCAATGGCTTCGCCCACAGTGGAACTCTGTCCACAAGCCAATCTTCATCTCTAGAACTGATTGGCTGTCTGGAGGGTAAACCAGAAATCGTAGAAAGTCTAGGGCATGTAGGCAGAAGACTGGTCATACTTGGTGTGTCTACTAGCTTCTGACTGATCATACCTGGTGTTTCTACTAGCTTCTGCCTAGATGCAGAGGGGAAACCTGGAATCCTGGCCTTATTCGGGCAAGATGGTAACATATCTGCCATATTTTTGGTAAGTTCTTTGTCCTTTTGTCGCATTTCCTGCACTACAGAAAGTGCTCTTTTCTTCAATGGTCTCTCTAGAATTGGCCTACTGTTAGCATGCCAATCAACATTATCTAACTTAATTGGCAGTTTAGAGGGTAAACCAGAAACTCTGGCCATTAAAGGGCATGTAAGCAGAAGGTTAACCATATTCAGTTCAGATTCAGAAAGCTTTATTGTCCCAACGTTGGGCAATTTGGTTGGCTCTTGCATTGGTTCAGATGGGAAGCCAGGAATACTGGCTGTTTTGGGGCAGGATGGTTTAAGAGCCACCATTGTCTTGACCTTTTCACTATCATTATAAACTGTGTCAACATCCTCTAAATGGACCATCAATAATTCTACCTCTTTAGGTAACTTCTTAAACAGAGCCTTTGCATCTACTGGCCAGTGTACTGCCTTTGTCGGGTCTATGGTTGGCAATCCAGGAACTCTAGATACCCTTGGGCAAGATGGCATTATGTTAATCATGTTTGGCACAACCTGGGCTTTGGGCCTTGGAACAGATTGAAAACCAGGAATAGTACTTTCACTTGGACAAGATGGGACAAGTACTACCTTACGTTTCAACATTTCTTTGTCTCCATACACTTGGTCTAAAGCAACTGACGAAGAAAGCCCAATAACCGTTTTCTCATCATGTGGTCTCTCCCATTTCAGCTGCTTATCCACAGTCAAACCTACAGCCTCAGCCCCTTCAGTCTCCTTTGGTTTCCTGGAGGCCAAACCAGATGCACTGGATATGCTTGTGCAAGTTGGCGCTAGATTCACCATACTTGGTTCCATTTGTGTTTTGGGTGGTGGTGCTGGTCTTTCTGTTTTGGGTGGTGGTGCTGAGGGAAACCCAGGAACACTGGCTACCCTTGGACAACTTGGCAACAGGGCAGCCATTCTTTCCATTACTTTCTGGTCCTCATCCAACGTTTCAGGTGCAGGGGTGATAATTGGTGTTCCTTTCAATGGCTTCTCCCATAATGGGCTTTTATCAATGGGCCATTCTTCGGGTCGGGCCTTAAATCTGTTCCTAATCAATGTGGATGGGAAACCAGGGTAACTGGACACTTTTGGACAAGATGGCAGCGAGGCAGCCATACTTTTAGTTCTAAATGGACAGGGGACACCAAGTATATATGTCAGAGGAAAGGTGCCAAAGGGGGAACAACAAAACATGTTCTTGTGTTTAAAAACTAGTGGGACCAGCCCGTAATATTTATTGTCTTCAGGACATGCTAACATGTTTTAGAACTAGTTGAATGAGTGACACATTGAGGAACAGGGGTGTGTAGTGATTGTGCACCATGCCACACTTACCCCCAATCCATGGGTACCACTCGTTCTTTTGAACCTCTTGAATATTTAGGAGCATCTTTCTTAGGGACCAGTGTCCGCCCCTGCTCTTTCTTTGGGTCTTTCTCCTTTGGCAGACCGCTCTGCGACACTCTGTACGGCCGTGTGGTCTGCAACTCAGTGAGATGGGGGGGCGGCGGGGCCATCATCCTCTGCTGCCCACTGGCTACTGTCACAATCTGTTCAGGCTCTGGTTTGGCTAACGGTGTCCCTATCTGCATGGACATCTTGTTCAAGTGACTCCTCGTTCTGTCAAGTGACTTCATGGATGTGACTGTGGGCTCAGGTAAGCCAGGCCTTTGCATGGGTGCAAAAGGGAGAGGTTGCTGGGGTGTTGGAACTGGGAGTGCCCTGATTGACCTCTCCTCTACCTGACTCTTTGCAATCGGTTTTGGCATCTCAAAATATTGGAGCCCCGGAACAGAGGGTGCTCGGGGGCTAAAAGGCAGGAGAGGGGTCATGATCTCAGGTCTGAGGGACAAACAAATCAAGGTCAGAGTTCAGAGGTCAAGGGAGGGGGGGATTGTATCTCCATAGCAACAATGCAGTGAAAAACAGGCAAGGTTCCCCATCTCAAGCACGGTCAGAGGTAATTTAAAGAGGTGCTACTGTAAGGGCACAAGCACAAGCTTTGCTAAGGATCTTACATGAATTCTTTGGCATACCTCTAGAGTTAGCATACTACTAGATTGCACACAAAGTAGACTACCAGCAAGCGCTCAGTCAAAAAAAGCATATAATGTACGACAATCACTGGGCCAAGACGAGCAGAGATCTCTCTATGTATTGAAACAACATTGCAGCTTGAGGAAACTTGATACACTATAAATCTGCCTACCAGAAACTGATACAATCGTTTTGGTTTCACTATTGACAATCTGGTAGTTTCCAATGATTCACAAGATTTCAAATGGATACATTGCTACAGTGGCCATGCATCCTGAGTGTGACAAAATATGTAGTTCTATGTTTGCAGGGCCAAAGCGAACAAATTATTATAATTACAACTTTTAAGAACTCTGCCATGCTTCCAACAATTTATGACAAATAAAATAGCAATGCAATGTTGATCCCAGACAGCACAAGATTTTTGTGCAATAACACGACATCTGCCTTACAGACTCAAACACAACTCCTTCAGAAAGTTATCCATGACAGTATATCTATGTCACCATTATAACTAATAAGAAGAGTACACAGACTACAGCAACACTAGGAAAACCACAGCATTGACAAGAAGAATTGTTACACAAGACATTTCCTTGAAGTCGGATGGTTACTTTATTCCTGACATACCACTAAATTGTTTAGTTAGTATGAATGTGACATTCACTCGTCATAGTTATTAATAAGGTCAAATTACCACACTTTTGTCTTTCAAAGTGGCCTTTACTGTGTCATCTTACATATTTGTCTTACAAACTCCATCATGCAAAAAAAAGAACAAAAAAAGAAAAACTGACCATGCTCGCCATCGACATTGAATGGAGATGTTCAGGTTAAAACCAAACCAGCCATTCCAAGCATAAATAATGAGCACCACCACCAATAGCTGTATAACCTTTGAATTCACTCACCCTGCCGTTGCCTGGACAACCTCCATTCCAAACATTGAGTCTGCCCCCAATCTTCTCTCATAGGCTCTTGTCTCAAAGGGCTTAGCCAATGGGTCAAGTGAGGATGTTGATGGGTCTGGCCTCTGATTGGCAATACTGATCATTCCAGCAGTGCGGGCTAGAGGGGATGACAGATGAGAACATCATGAAGATGAATCTGAAGCCATCAGTATATCCTGTCTTGACTGTGGGCCAAAACCTGACTTGAAGATCTGTGCCCTATAAGTTTAAGTTTTGAGAAAAGTTAAGAACACAGATCTCAAGTTAGGATTTGGCCCTGTGTATAGATTATGGGATGTTCCTAAAAAGGCATTGTGGTTGCATTAGGTCCTACTCACTGGGAGTTGTGGCAGTGGTGTATTCCTCCTCTGTCAGAGTGCTCAACTGCCTCTGAAACTCTAGAAGGGAAAAGACAGGACCTGGTTAGACCTGATTATCTTAGCGGGAGAGTTAGCCAATAACCAACAATTAATGAAGGAAACACATTTAATGCTAACATAAAATTTGTACAACCAACAACAATTAGCAAGAGACCGTTATAACCAAAACAACTAGCTAGGTGCCAAGTGTTCTCATGTGAAGATTGAGAAGGGAATACGTTATCATCATAGCATTCTATCATGAATTTCCCCATTATTTAACATGAGGACTTTTCAGTGAACACCTTTCTGTTTGTCGCCTCAGGTTGTATACCTGTCTCTTGGGGAGCAGTGACTGGTGCTGGGAGGGGGGCAGTGGGGACTTGAGTCTGAGAGCCAGCAAAGAACACAGGAGTAGGTACAGGATAGGGGGTGAGTGAGAGAGGAGAGGATGAGTGGGGGAGCTCCAGAGGAGGGGAGACCAGCCTCTTCAAATTGGGGTGGACCAATGTGGGAACCCCCTGGTGCATCCATTCTGCAGTCTGGGGCACAGCAGGGGGGACTGAGGTAGACGGAGAGAAAGAAAGAGAAAAGATAGGACACAGGGAAGACAAGGAAGGAAAGAAAGCGGGGAAAAGGAGAAAGGAAGAAAGAGGGAGTGGATGAGGGAAGAATTTGATTCATAAACGTTTCAACCAGTTGGGATCAAAGTAAAATTTTGTAGACTGGTTAGACAAGCATTTGTCCAATGTCAATGCTTTGGGCTGAATCTCTCTTTGAGATCTGTACCTGACTGGGAGACAGCGGCAGAAGCAGGATCTGCAGCACACGGAGAAGCGCCGATAGCATGAGGGGAGGAACCAGGAGCGGGGTCATAACATTGGGCAGCAGTAGGGTCAGAAGCAGTAGGAAGACCAGGGGTGGGAACAGTGGGATCAGGGGAAAGACCAGGGGTAGAGGATAGGGAAGGGTCAGGGGTGGAGGTTGGGGAAAGGGCTGGGTCATCAGAGGTAATGGGAGGCATGGATGCAGGAGTAGGGTTAACATCAATGGGAGTGGATGAGGAAGAATCAGAGACGATGGCAGGCGCAGAAGCAGGGGTGAGGACAGGAGCATCAGAGCCAGAGGGGGTTACGAGAGGGGGTGATGAGGACACAAGAGTGCAGTAAGGTGCTTCCATTGGGTCAGATGCGTAATCAGGGGTGGGGAGAGAGGAGGACGCAGGAGATGAGGCTAGCACAGGGGGAGGGAAGGGGAGAGGAGACTGCAACATGGAAGAATGGGACACATCAAGGGAGAATGACATGGAGGGATCAGGCTGAGAGCAAGCAGGATTACATGGTGTCTCCATGCTCTGCTTTGTCTTCTCCAGGGGCACAGGCTCCACTGGGTCAGGGGGAGAGGGGTGCAGAAATTTGGGGGAGAGGTCCGGCTGGGCCAGAGGGGCCTGGGATTTGGGCGGTCTCCATTCACTCTGCCAGGGTACTGTGAGGGAGGGATGAGAAGGGGTAGAATGAGAGATTAAAATAAGGCATACGTTTGAGAGAAAGAGGGACAGGAGAGATGAGGGAGAAATAGAGGGATGGGTGGTTAGAAAATATATTGGAGTAGAAAGGGTATTCAGATTGGAATAAAGAGAGGGAGAGAGAAAGGGAGAGAAAACAGTCAACAGAACAGTCCCTACGTTGTCTGATATACAGTAGTAACATAAGTATTGATGTGGAAACCCTACTGCACATGATATAGGCTACATGCAATGTTCCCTCTAAGTTGTGCGCTGGCGCGCAGCTCCCCTCGGACTGCAGCCCAGAAGAAACATCAGCCTGCGCAGAGAAGGACGAGATTGAACTTCACTCAACTTTCTAGAGTTTTCCCCTTTAGTTAACAATATCAACATTTCGCTCTAATGTGGGAATCGAATCAACGCAATATTAGCCACTTTCAATGTAACAAACAAACAAAAACGATGCAAGACTTAGTATGCAAAACTAACTGTGCAAGAGATTTTGTTGTAGGCAGAGCGCATTGGAGTAGGATTCTATCGCATTGACAGGCACGACTCAGGCCCGTATTCTACACAGACCGGTGCGCCATAACCATTCAGAGCTGCAGTAGGCCTATATGCAAATAACTAATGCCATATATAGATCTGTGCCATTCACGTTGAACTGGACTGTGTTTACAGCATGAGCGGTCGCGAGTAGATGAGATTAATTTGAGATCAAAGCAAGAGCTGCATGTAGCCACCTGTGCACATTTTGTTTATATTCTTTGTTAGTTAGTGAGTTGTTAGCCCAGTTATAGCAAATTTCTAGTCAACAATGGGCGAGTGGTTGCTTCCTACAAGAGCACAAATTGTGTGCATTTCTAGCCATCTTTGAAAAGTGAGTTAGGTAAAGGGCTTTTTTTATGCCTTAAAGACGCAATTTGGCCCCTTTAAGAATAGTTGAATAGCCCTGACATAGCCCTTCTAAGGATAGCCTTTCCAGTCCCTATTTAATCTTGCTCTTGTGACTGACTGGATTCGAACCAGGTCTCCTGCCTGTCATAAGACTGTGTTAGCCCCTGGTTCGAACCCAGTCTGTCACAAAAGCAAGATTAAATAGGGAGTGGAAAGGCTATCCTTAGAATGGCTATGAAAAGGCAATTCAACTATTCAGCCAAATTGCAGTTTTTGTGACACTCCCTTCTGACGTGTCCTGTATGGCCTGTGATCATCAAAGATGGGAACAGAAGGCAGGTCCATGTTCCAGAGAGTATAAGCTTTCAGGGATTGGGTCATAATAGCTTATAGCTAGTGCCAAATTCATAGGAAGAAAACAAATTCAACATTCCGCATTGGCTTCAGAAACTGCCAAAAGCTTCTGTTTACCACAGAGAGCGTTTGATTCTATCTGTGCTCCTACACCGTTCCTGGCTGTCAAAGTACAAGGATGTTGTCTCTGGTTTTGAATCTGAACTGAATTTGAAAACTGAATCTGAATGCATCTGAAGAAGTTGAATATATGAAACTTTGATAAACTTGAAATTATAGTTTTTAAACTTTATACACAGACAACGAAGGCAATATCTTCCATATTAAAACTGAATGAAATATTAATTCAATTCAGTTTCAAAGTTCCATTTATTAATTCAATGATTCAATTTGTGCATTACAAATTCAAAAATCTTAAATTGAAATTCAATATCCTAATACAAATTCAAAATGTTGGAATTCAAATAAAATTTCTGTTGGCACTGAAATTGCTCCATATGCTTTGCCTTGTGCCTGTGTCGTACCTGTCTCGGGGGCCGAGGGCAGGCTGGTAGGCCTAGTGAGGGCGGAGCCCGGCTCTGCCAGGGAGGTGATGTATGCTTTGGGCCGACGGGGGACAGGGAGGGGCTGGGACGCAGGAGGGGAGGTGCCGAAAGTGGTGGAGGAGAAGGAGGAGGAGAAAGAGGAGGAAGGGACGCTCTGGGGTCTCCAAGCACTGGTGCGAGCAGCAGCGTAGGTGGCTGAGAGAAAAGAGGAGGATGAAAAGAAGAATGTGGGGGGTAGAGAAGAGGAAAGGAAAGGAAAGGAAAGGAAAGGAAAGGAAAGGAAAGGAAAGGAAAGGAAAGGAAAGGAAAGGAAAGGAAAGGAAAGGAAAGGAAAGGAAAGGAAAGGAAAGGAAAGAGGATGGTGATGAACAGTTACTACAGACAAAAGAGATAACTTACAGAATCAAAGACAAATCGCATCCATGCAGTAAATTGAAATTAAGGACAAATGCCTTGAAACTATCCCATCAATTTCTGTACATGCAGTACCTGTCTGTGGAATATCAGAGAAAGAGGGAGGTGGAAGGACGGATTGGGCAGAGGGTGAAGAGGAAAGAGGAGAGGTGGAAGGCCCAGTGAAGGATGCTGAGAGGGGTCTTGATGGAGAGAAGGTGGGGAGACCAGGGGCCACATGGCCCTCAGCAAGACTGGCAGGGTCAAGGGCCGGATCACTCTGGAAGCCACAGGGCCTCCGGGCTACAGATATGGGTACTGAGAGAAAACGGTAGAGGAGAGAGTAGAGGAGGAAGAAAGAGAAGAGTGAAGGAAAAGGAAGGGGGCAGAGTGAGAAAGAGAATGGATAGTAAAGAAGGGTTGAGAAATTAGAATCAAGCCTGACCAGTACAGAGAGCAGTAGAAACATTTTGTCATTCAGCATGGCTTAATGTAAAAAATAAATTTAAAAAAGGACATGCTTTCTCTTGAAACTTGCCTGAATAATCTAAACTACTCCACAACTAAACAGCCCCATTAACTGTGACCTCACTTCCCTAGCAACAGTTATGGACCAATGTCAGAAACCATAAATACAGTATGTCACCGCTTTGATGAATAAATTCACTGTGAGCTAAGGCAGTTGCTATGGAAATGAAGCAATTGCCTCTGGCAATCTCGGCAATAAACATTCAACGCCTGACATTTCAGTCAGTGGAGAAAATAATGATTCTAGACCCCTGTGTGTCTCTAGAGACTCAAGGTAATTCAGGACATTCAATTCATTCCTCCAGGAATGTGTCGACATGTTTTTCTCAATCTTGCTATAGCTATACTGATTTAAACAGCAGGGGGTGCCTCAGACCATAGAAAGATACAGTCAGGTCCAACATTATTGGCACCCTTGATAAAGATGAGCAAAGAAGATTGTAAATAATAAATAATACAAATACTGAGCTACATATATGCTCAAAACAATGGGACAATTATGTTATTTTATACTAATACAATTGCTCAGAGAAAGAGATTTAGTTTAACAAGTAATTTACTATTTTTTTTATAAAAAAGATAAGGATCAATATTATTGGCAGCCCTGTTTTCAATACATTTCTATAGAATTGTTGGTCAAAAGCGACGCGTGCGCAACTCTGGGGCAAAACAGATGGGGTTGGTTTAGACTCTTGACAATATACAAACTATATTTAATCTTCAAATGTTTATTGAAAACAAATACATTTGCACAACGAGCACTTGTTGTCTATCAAATACATTGTTACAGTTGTTGGTTAGCTAGCTAGCTAATTTTTTTGCCATATTAGTTTAGACATGACATCAGTCAAAACACCTCAAAACAAGGTATAATAATAATAATATGCCATTTAGCAGACGCTTTTATCCAAAGCGACTTACAGTCATGCGTGCATACATTTTTGTGTATGGGTATCACTAACAAGATACAACGACCTGAAACGAGTCACCTACGATTCCCCATATGGCAGCTTCTTATCATTGTTGCTAGCTATCTGACCGTTCAGAATCATAACAACGCACGCCTTCCGGCCACATCAATGCAAGGCAACATTTCCGTGACGTTATCATCCCCCCAAAAAATTATGAGATTGAAGAATACATTGGGAGGGATCTTAGACCATTCCTCCATGCAGAATCTTTCCAGATCCTTGATACCCTTTGTCTGTGCTTATGGACTGCCATCTTCAATTCAAAGAGCTCTATTTTCAAGTCATCCAACAAATGTAAACGTCTAGAGTTTGCGGAGTTCTGCATATGCAGAAAAGAAACCCATACGGTGGTGGCTCTTCGATGTTATGGGGCTATTTTGCTTCCACTGGTCCTGAGGCCCTTGTTAAGGTCAACGGCATCATGAACTTTACCCAGTACCAGGCCATTTTAGCCAAAAACTTAGTTGCCTCTACAAGGAAGCTGAAACTTGGCTGCAAGTGGAAGTTCCAGCAAGACAATAACCCCAAGCACACATCAAAATAAACAAAGAAATGGCATTTTGCAATGGCCCATCTAGGTCTCCGGACTTGAAAACCATTGAAAACCTGTGGTTTGAATTGAAGAGGGCAGTCCATAAACACAGATGAAGGATATCAAGGTTCTGGAAAGATTTTGTATGGAGGAATGGTCTAAGATCCCTCCCAATGTGTTCTCCCATCTCATAAAACATTTTAGAAAAAGACTCAGTGCCGTTATCCTCGCAAGGTGAGGTATTGAAAGGTATTGAAAACAGGGGTGCAAATAATTTTGACCCCTATCTTTTTTAGAAAAATAAGATTACTTGTTCAACAAAATCTCTTTCTCTGAGCAATTGTATTAGTATAAAATAATATCATTTCCAAAAAATTGAGAATACAATATAGCTCAGTATTTGTATTATTTATTTTATAGTCTTTTTTGCCCATCTTTATCAAGGGTGCCAATAATTTTGGACCTGACTGTACATTGCATAACATGGTAATGACCCCTTTACTGTGTTCACATGAGTCAGAATACCCAAACAACAAAAGCCTCTCTCAATTTCTCGGAATTAGCCTCTCTCTTCTCTTTAAAGCAATTGACGTCAATAACTTCTCAAATACCAAACAAATAGACTAACTGATGAACTGTCACACGTTATGCACAGAATCAAACATGTGGGTATCCCTCGGAGGTATCCTTACCTTGAATAAAAGCTGCTATTTCACCTTTTACTTATTAAAATAGGTGTAGTCTATGATTAAAGCTAGAATCCGTACTTGGTGAAACTGCCACGTCCGTTTGTGATATTACAACAACAAAGAAGTAACTTCAAAACAACAGACAGTTTTTTTCCCTCTGACATCATTGCAGGCGCTGTTTCACCTTGTGCGGATTTCAGCTTTAAATATCCCCATGAGTCAGTCAGTCTGCCAGTACCTGAGCCAGCAGCGGGCTGGAAGATTTTGGGCAGTGCAGGTGGGTGGGCGCGGAGAAAGGCTGGCACTTGGTAGGCATAGGGGGAGGGTCGTGCCGGGTGAGCGGTGCCCGCAGGGCCGGTGGTGAGTCGGGAGCGGGCGGCAGGGGCAGGAGGCGGGGCGGAGGGGTCGAGGGGTACAGGCAGAGGGGGACGTGACAGAAGTGAGATGGTAGACACAGTGCCAGATGAGCTACTCCAATCCATCTTACTGGCAGCTGGGTGACAGAGATGAGGACGGGGTGGGAGGGGAGGCGAGGCGATGGGCAGAAAGAGGAGGAAGATAGGAGAGTAGGAGCAAAGGATAAAGAGGAGGACAGATGCAGGAGAGAACAGAAGAGAATGGCAGGGAAAGTAGTGAAAGAAAGTGGTGTAGAGACAGACAAAATGTATCAAAGAGATGAAAAGATAAGTGAAATGCAGTTGAGGAAGAGAGTTCCAGAGAAGAGAGAGGAGGGGAAACAGTAGTGAGAACAGAAGGGAAGAGGAAGTGAGAAAAGGGAAGGGGGAAGATTGAAAGAATATAAGCAATGGAGAGTGATAGTACTCGGATACTCATCCCATACAGTCAAACTGTACAGTTGCTCAAATTACAGTTTTTTCTCACTGTAACACTTCATTATCAATTACTAAACCCTAGTCCCATTTCTACGAGTCAGGGACCTGAATTCTTGGTCAGGCCCCAGCATTCAGTCCCACAGTTTAATTAATTAAGAGAGGAATTGAAAAGAAAAAGCTCAGCTCCCATGGGTGTTGGGGATACCTTAGGACTCCATATTGTGTAATCATACATTTAACATGTATCAGATTCCATCACTTCAAACAGTGATTGAAACGACTGGTAATTTGTTTGCTTAATTTAGCCTTGCAGAGAGTATCGGATTTAATATGAGAATGTAATGAGGTATACAACTTCATTTGAAACCTCATTGGCTAATATCCATTTGGTTTAATAAATATGATTAATCAAACCATACAAATTATGTGTATAGGTTGATGATCAATATTTAGATAAACGCTTATAACACATGAATATCATAATTTCAAATGAGGAATGGGATGTTATATAGGAGGAGAGGGGATAGAGGAAAAAGTCCAATCAGGATTCAGAGGCGGGAGCATGGGAGGAAACAGGAAGTTACCTGTGGCCTCTGGGTCAATCACAGGTCTCCATGCCTGATCACGTATTCTTCTCGTGGGAGCTTTCAAAGTAGAAGGAAGGAAGGAAGGAAGGAAGGAAGGAAGGAAGGAAGGAAGGAAGGAAGGAAGGAAGGAAGGAAGGAAGGAAGGAAGGAAGGAAGGAAGGAAGGAAGGAAGGAAGGAAGGAAGGAAGGAAGGAAGGAAGGAAGGAAGGAAGGAAGGAAGGAAGGAAGGAAGGAAGGAAGGAAGGGGGAGAGGAACATATTAAATTAAAGGAAAAGGAAGTAAAGGAAATTGATATATTATGGAAAGGGAAGCTTGGTGTGGAAAGAGAGTTTCTTGGCATTCATACATTTGAAAGGGAAAATGTGAAATCCTGCTGGGCCACCGTAGTTGAGACAGGTGTGAGGCTGGAGAGGGGAGCAATATGCTATGCCGGTGTATTGAGCAATGTTTTCAAACATAAACCCTTAAAATAGACTTGTCACACCTCATATGGCTAGCAATCATATGTGCAAAGTAAACCTCTCCTATGACAGTTTTGTTTACCTGTTACTATATGCATCACTGTCAGATGAAGTAGAAAAGTAGACTTATGTTTTTCCATTGTGTATGCCAGATTAGTATATAGCTACTGTATTTATCAGCGTGGTAGTATTCCAGACCAGAGCATTTTGAGTGTCTCTGACACATTTTCTCTAAGCCTTGACTAGATCTCGGAACAGGAAAACACTGATGACTTATGTAATGTCTGCTGACACCACTACCTGTGACGGGAGTTGCGGCTCCCATGCTGGCTCCGATGCTGGCTCTTCTTCCGCCCTCTTCCTCGTCACTATCGTTGAAGTCATCCAGGTTGCCGATGTCACTCTGTTTCAGACTCATCAGACTGGCCAGACTCTGCATGTCCTCATCTCTATAGAGGAGAATGAAAACAACAAGCCTTATGACTCATCCCAAAACAGTAATATTGTCTAAATGACTGTTTATGACTAATCATTGAACATCATCAACTCACTATACAGGTCAGTAATGGCCAACTCAAAAGGTTATATACTGTACCTACCCACTACATACCTACTTGTATTGCACTGTTTGTTATTTAACTGTAAGCTTAGTTGAGAGACAGTTGGCTCAAAGCTTTTTCAAACCTTTGAATGAGTAGGTGTTCTACAACTTTTGACCGGTAGTATATATATACAATACAAGTCAAGAGTTTGGACACACCTACTCATTCAAGGGTTTTTCTTTATTTTTTTTATTTTTTTTCTACATTGTAGAATAATAGTGAAAACATCAAAACTATGAAATAACACATATGGAATCATGTAGTAACCAAAAAAGTGTTAAACAAATCAAAATATATTTTATATTTGAGGTTCTTCAAATAGCCACCCTTTGCCTTGATGACAGCTTTGCTGCATAGGTCAGCATCCCGGAGTCGCCTCTTCACTGTTGATGTTGAGACTGGTGTTTTGCGGGTACTATTTAATGAAACTGCCAGTTGAGGACGTGTGAGGTGTCTGTTTCTCAAACTATTTATCCTCTTGCTCAGTTGTGCACCGGGGCCTCCCACCCCTCTTTCTATTCTGGTTAGAGCCAGTTTGCGCTGTTCTGTGAAGGGAGTAGTACACAGCGTTGTACGAGAGCTTCAGTTTCTTGGCAATTTCTCACATGGAATAGCCTTCATTTCTCAGAACAAGAATAGACTGACGAGTTTCAGAAGAAAGTTATTTGTTTCTGGCCATTTTGAGCCTGCAATTGATCCCACAATTTCTGATGCTCCAGATACTCAACTAGTCTCGAGAAGGCCAGTTTTATTGCTTCTTTAAATCCGCACAACAGTTTTCATCTGTGCTAACATAATTGCAAAAGGGTTTTCTAATGATCAATTAGCCTTTTAAAATGATAAACTTGGATTAGCAAACACAACGTGCCATTGGAACACAGGACTGATGGTTGCTGATAATGGGCCTCTGTACGCCTATGTAGATATTCCATAAAAAATCAGCCGTTTCCAGCTACAATAGCCATTTACAACATTAACAATGTCTACACTGTATTTCTGATTAATTTGATGTTATTTTAATGGACAAAACAATTACTTTTCTTTCAAAAACAAGGACATTTCTAAGTGACCCCAAACTTTTGAACGGTAGTGTATATATATACAGTGGGGCAAGAAAGTATTTAGTCAGCCACCAATTGTGCAAGTTCTCCCACTTAAAAAGATGAGAGAGGCCTGTAATTTTCATCATAGGTACACGTCAACTATGACAGACAAAATTAGAAGAAAAAAAATCCAGAAAATCACATTGTAGGATTTTTAATGAATTTATTTGCAAATTATGGTGGAAAATAAGTATTTGGTCAATAACAAAAGTTTCTCAATACTTTGTTATATACCCTTTGTTGGCAATGACACACGTCAAACGTTTTCTGTAAGTCATCACAAGGTTTTCACACACTGTTGCTGGTATTTTGGCCCATTCCTCCATGCAGATCTCCTCTAGAGCAGTGATGTTTTGGGGCTGTCGCTGGGCAACACGGACTTTCAACTCCCTCCAAAGATTTTCTATGGGGTTGAGATCTGGAGACTGGCTAGGTCACTCCAGGACCTTGAAATGCTTCTTACGAAGCCACTCCTTCGTTGCCCGGGCGGTGTGTTTGGGATCATTGTCATGCTGAAAGACCCACCCACGTTTCATATTCAATGCCCTTGCTGATGGAAGGAGGTTTTCACTCAAAATCTCACGATACATGGCCCCATTCATTCTTTCCTTTACACGGATCAGTCGTCCTGGTCCCTTTGCAGAAAAACAGCCCCAAAGCATAATGCTTCCACCCCCATGCTTCACAGTAGGTATGGTGTTCTTTGGATGCAACTCAGCATTCTTTGTCCTCCAAACACGACGAGTTGAGTTTTTACCAAAAAGTTATATTTTGGTTTCATCTGACCATATGACATTCTCCCAATCCTCTTCTGGATCATCCAAATGCACTCTAGCAAACTTCAGACGGGCCTGGACATGTACTGGCTTAAGCAGGGGGACACGTCTGGCACTGCAGGATTTGAGTCCCTGGCGGCGTAGTGTGTAACTGATGGTAGGCTTTGTTACTTTGATCCCAGCTCTCTGCAGGTCATTCACTAGGTCCCCCCGTGTGGTTCTGGGATTTTTGCTCACTGTTCTTGTGATCATTTTGACCCCACGGGGTGAGATCTTGCGTGGAGCCCCAGATCGAGGGAGATTATCAGTGATCTTGTATGTCTTCCATTTCCTAATAATTGCTCCCACAGTTGATTTATTCAAACCAAGCTGCTTACCTATTGCAGATTCAGTCTTCCCAGCCTGGTGCAGGTCTACAATTTTGTTTCTGGTGTCCTTAGACAGCTCTTTGGTCTTGGCCATAGTGGAGTTTGGAGTGTGACTGTTTGAGGTTGTGGACAGGTGTCTTTTATACTGATAACAAGTTCAAACAGGTGCCATTAATACAGGTAACGAGTGGAGGACAGAGGAGCCTCTTAAAGAAGAAGTTACAGGTCTGTGAGAGCCAGAAATCTTGCTTGTTTGTAGGTGACCAAATACTTATTTTCCACCATAATTTGCAAATAAATTCATTAAAAATCCTACAATGTGATTTTCAGGAATTTTTTTTCTCAATTTGTCTGTCATAGTTGACGTGTACCTATGATGAAAATTACAGGCCTCTCTCATCTTTTTAAGTGGGAGAACTTGCACAATTGGTGGCTGACTAAATACTTTTTTCCCCCACTGTATTTACAGTATATATTTTGGAGATAAAAAAAATACTCAATATACTTTAAAATGTATTGCCTTACCTCCATAACTTGCTACATTTGCACACACTGTATATATATTTTCTGTTGTATTTTTGACTTTATGTTTTGTTTTACCCCATATGTAACTCTGTGTTGTTGTTTTTATCGCACTGCTTTGCTTTATCTTGGCCAGGTCGCAGTTGTAAATGAGAACTTGTTCTCAACTGGCTTACCTGGTTAAATAAAGGTGAAATTAAAACATTACAAAATTAGAAAATGACTAAAACCAAATCGAAACTGTGTAGAAATTATAATGGACCTATATTCATAGTTTCTTGACTGTCCAGCTCACTAATAATCACTAGACATTAAGGGAGCATTGAAAATTCCAAAAACGATGGATAGAGGTCTATTGTTAGCAAATTTTGACGGAAAGGAAATAAATAAAAAAAATCAGTGAGGCGCTCTGGACCTCGTCGTTGAAGACCAAATGCGCCCCCTGGGGCAAAATGAGTTCGACACCCCTGGTTTAGTACCTCAACCTCTCTCTTCTTGACATACAGTGGGGGAAAAAAGTATTTAGTCAGCCACCAATTGTGCAAGTTCTCCCACTTAAAAAGATGAGAGAGGCCTGTAATTTTCATCATAGGTACACGTCAACTATGACAGACAAAATTAGAAGAAAAAAATCCAGAAAATCACATTGTAGGATTTTTAATGAATTTATTTGCAAATTATGGTGGAAAATAAGTATTTGGTCAATAACAAAAGTTTCTCAATACTTTGTTATATACCCTTTGTTGGCAATGACACAGGTCAAACGTTTTCTGTAAGTCTTCACAAGGTTTTCACACACTGTTGCTGGTATTTTGGCCCATTCCTCCATGCAGATCTCCTCTAGAGCAGTGATGTTTTGGGGCTGTCGCTGGGCAACACGGACTTTCAACTCCCTCCAAAGATTTTCTATGGGGTTGAGATCTGGAGACTGGCTAGGCCACTCCAGGACCTTGAAATGCTTCTTACGAAGCCACTCCTTCGTTGCCCGGGCGGTGTGTTTGGGATCATTGTCATGCTGAAAGACCCAGCCACGTTTCATCTTCAATGCCCTTGCTGATGGAAGGAGGTTTTCACTCAAAATCTCACGATACATGGCCCCATTCATTCTTTCCTTTACACGGATCAGTCGTCCTGGTCCCTTTGCAGAAAAACAGCCCCAAAGCATGATGTTTCCACCCCCATGCTTCACAGTAGGTATGGTGTTCTTTGGATGCCACTCAGCATTCTTTGTCCTCCAAACACGACGAGTTGAGTTTTTACCAAAAAGTTCTATTTTGGTTTCATCTGACCATATGACATTCTCCCAATCCTCTTCTGGATCATCCAAATGCACTCTAGCAAACTTCAGATGGGCCTGGACATGTACTGGCTTAAGCAGGGGGACACGTCTGGCACTGCAGGATTTGAGTCCCTGGTGGCGTAGTGTGTTACTGATGGTAGGCTTTGTTACTTTGGTCCCAGCTCTCTGCAGGTCATTCACTAGGTCCCCCCGTGTGGTTCTGGGATTTTTGCTCACCGTTCTTGTGATCATTTTGACCCCACGGGGTGAGATCTTGCGTGGAGCCCCAGATCGAGGGAGATTATCAGTGGTCTTGTATGTCTTCCATTTCCTAATAATTGCTCCCACAGTTGATTTCTTCAAACCAAGCTGCTTACCTATTGCAGATTCAGTCTTCCCAGCCTGGTGCAGGTCTACAATGTTGTTTCTGGTGTCCTTTGACAGCTCTTTGGTCTTGGCCATAGTGGAGTTTGGAGTGTGACTGTTTGAGGTTGTGGACAGGTGTCTTTTATACTGATAACAAGTTCAAACAGGTGCCATTAATACAGGTAATGAGTGGAGGACAGAGGAGCCTCTTAAAGAAGAAGTTACAGGTCTGTGAGAGCCAGAAATCTTGCTTGTTTGTAGGTGACCAAATACTTATTTTCCACCATAATTTGCAAATAAATTCATTAAAAATCCTACAATGTGATTTTCAGGATTTTTTTTTCTCAATTTGTCTGTCATAGTTGACGTGTACCTACGATGAAAATTACAGGCCTCTCTCATCTTTTTAAGTGGGAGAACTTGCACAATTGGTGGCTGACTAAATACTTTTTTCCCCCACTGTAATACGGTAAACCTTTAAATAGCATTATCTACTCAACATAATATGGTAAACCTATGATAAACTTCACTAATTACATAAATTATGACTCACGTGGCCTTGCCCTCTTTGAGGAAGACGCAGGTCAAGGTCAGTTTGAGCGTGGCCTCTACCACCTTCACCGACAGAGGCTTGAGCTTCAGCGTCAGGTCATACTGGGCAGGCGTGGGGCTGGCAAACTTCTTCATGTTGATGTCCACCGATGCCAGCACCTTCCTGTGGCCCTTGTTAGTCTCCTAGAAGGACAAAAGACAGGGGTCATTAGCAAATCGTATGTTTTCAAAGTAATGCTGTTTTGAATCCAATGTATTTCACTTCACAGAATCTAAGAGGCTTTAACTATGGACATTTTTGTGTAGCATGTACTATGTCATCCTTGACAGCTCTGTGAATCCGCCTTGACTAAAAATGGAATTCAGAATTGATGGAAACATTAATTCACTCACATTCTCAATGATAAACGTCCAGTCCTTGTCTTCAAATTCGTCTGCAGTCGGGTCCTAAAGAAGAGAGATTTTGAGAATAAGGAAACATGTTTTGACAATTCAAATGCAGATTCATCTAAATGATTTCCCAAATCATTCACACACATCTTCCTAGGGTTGAGATGCCATACCTTGAAAAGTGTGACATTGATGTCCAGGTTTTCAGGCACCTGCCACACTACCGTGCCCCTGTAGGGGTTCTTGATGCCCGGCTGCCATCCATGCAGCTAAGGATTGGAAAGGCCAGGTCAGGGAAAGGACCAGAGCATGTGCTGACCATATGCATTTTATATTGAATAAGCCACGTGCAGCTTAAAGAGTGTCGAATGTGACTAAAAGTTAATGGGATGTGATTAATAAAGCAATTACTGTGATGAATAAAGGCAGATGTATTTATGGCTTAACTCAAATCTCATACCTATACACGTCTGTATATAGATGGTTCCACTTCCTCAAACACAAGCAAATCTGACCTTTCACCTTATAGGCTACACACCCTCAGGTAGGCTACATACCGTAGGTGCCTTCTCACACTTTATCATGATGACAAGTGTTAGACAAATAGGCCTACACATGCCACTCCTCTACTTGTTGAGTGAAGTAGCGTTCCCCATATTACCTTGGTGCAGTTTCGTCTGTTTCTCCTGGTCCATACTACTCTCAGTTTGTCTGGCTGCCTGTGAGTAGAGAAAGCACAAAACACTGTATACTGTAAGCATACCTTAATACTGTATATACATACTATATATAAACACTATACACTTACATAAGTAGGGATTTCAGTGTAGATCAGTGTTTCCATTGATAATGCAGTATTTGGTTACATAACCCATATAATAGGACCTAAATAGGCCGCAACTGGAGTCTGAGGTATTCTGTACATAAGATAATTTACAGGACTGAGCTCTCATTGTATCCTGTTCCTTCAGGCTATAACATGGCACAGTCATGTTGAATGTAAGCACATACTATGAACAGTATCAATGCACATACTAATACTGATAAATGCTTTTAGTCCATAGGCTAGGCTGTCTGGAACATACCTATATTTCAAAGCCATCGAAAATACATACCCCCCACCATAGTGTTTGGAATTTAAGAGGCACTAAGATAAAAGCTCAAGACATGAGGAGTTGGCCTTCTCTCAAATACAAAAAAGCACACACACACACACAAACATATGTCAGCTGTGAAAAAAACAGAGAAGGGGGAAAAGGCTTCAGCCTGGACAAAAACCTACATCTTCTGACTCTGTTCAGTGCTCTGACTAACAGACATCCCAGAGGAAGAGAATGAGCTCCCTAATCGGATCAACATCAACAAACTAACTTCCCTGCTACGGCCTGAGTGGCAGCATCCTTTGGTTCATCTGGTATGGGAGACATCAGCTGGGGCATGTTCTGTAGGGCATATCGTAGCAAAACGTTTTACAACATTTCTTATTGGACAAGTTCAGGTTGTACATCCCCATTTCAAAATGTTTACTCCTACTGAACATGACCCAGCTGGGGCATTTTCTTTATTCTTCTGTGTTTACAGTCCTCAGGGCCCTATCAATGGAGGGAGTGGCCCTAGCAACAACCAGAGCACAATACTTCAGTTTGTCTCCAGCCCCAGCCAGCTACCTCATACATGTACGTCACACAAAGAGGGTTGTCACTCAACAGATCTGGTCTAGACTAGAGCAGTAACTATGTAATCCAAGAAGATATAGTTTGCAGGGACGAGAAATAGCGTTATATTGTTTACCTTTGTCAACTCCCAACAACAAGAACCAATAGTGAGTCAGCAAGATATTGCTGTTTGTATACAGTCAGTTCGGCAACTCCAAAAGGTAAACATGCAACAGGCTAATTGCAAGTTGATATGTAACAGAATGCACTGTTACGTCTTGAAGTATGCTAGAATGAACATACACTACCAGTCAAAAGTTTGGACACACCTACTCATTCAATGGTTTTTCATTATTTTTACTATTTTCTACATTGTAGAATAATAGTGAAGACTTCAAAACTATGAAATAACACATATGGAATCATGTAGTAACCAAAAAAGTGTTAAACAAAATCAAAATATATTTTATATTTGAGATTCTTCAAATAGCTACCCTTTGCCTTGATGACAGCTTTGCACACTGTTGGCAAAGCTATTATTCTACAATTTAAAAATTAAATAAAAAACCCTTGAATGAGTAGGTGTGTCCAAACTTTTGACTGGTAGTGCAGGTACTCTAGCTGCCCATGAGTAAACTATACAGTGCCATGAAAAAGTATTTGCCCCCTTTCTGACCATCAAACTACCACCACGCTTGACCATTGTGTGAGGTCCTTACTGTGGAATGCAGCGTTTGGTTTTCACCAGACATAACGGGACCTATGTCGTCCAAAAAGTTGACTCAAGTTTGTCAAAAAGCACCTGGAAGCACCTGGATGATTATCAAGAATCCTGGAAGAATGTTCTATGGACAGATGAGTCAAAAGTGGAACTTTTTGGACAACATGGGTCCCGTTATGTCTTCCAAAAACAAAACACTGCATTCCACAGTAATAACCTCATATCAATGGTCAAGCATGGCTCTGTCGTAGCCGGCCGCGACTGGGAGACCCATGGGGCGGCGCGCAATTGGCCCAGCGTCGTCCAGGGTAGGGAAGGGAATGGCCGGCAGGGATGTAGCTCAGTTGATAGAGCATGGCGTTTGCAACGCCAGGGTTGTGGGTTCGATTCCCACAGAGGGTATGAAAAAAAATTATGTATGCACTAACTGTAAGTCGCTCTGGATAAGAGCATCTGCTAAATGACTAAAATGTAAATGTAATGTAAATGTAGTGTGATGGGTTGGGGATGCTTTGCTGTCTCAGGACCTGGATGACTTGCCCTCATTGAAGGAACAATGAATTCAGCTCTGTATCAGAGAATTCTAAAGGAAAATGTCAGGCCATCCATCTGAGCTGAAGCGGAAGCGCAGCTGGGTCATGCACCAAGACAATGATCCAAAAACACACAAGCAAGTCTACATCAGAATGGCTGAAAGGCAAACACTGTTAAAAGTTTTGGAATGGCCTAGTAAAAGTCTAGACCTAAACCCGATTGAGAAGTTGTGGCAGGATGTGAAACGAGCAGTACATGCTCGAAAACCCACAAATGTCACCGAGTTAAAGCAGTTCTGCATGGAAGAGTGGGCCAAAATTCCTCCACAGCGATGTGAGAGAATGATCAACAACTACAGGAAGCATTTGGTTGCAACCAGTCATTGAGTGTAAGGGGGAAATTACTTTTTCACACAGGTGCATTGGGTGTTGCATAATTGACTTTATTAAATAAAAGAAATGAGTATCAGCATTTAGTGTAATTTGTTCACTCAGGTTGCCTTTATCTAATATTAGGGTTTGGTTGAAGATCTGACAACATTCAGCGTAAAGAAAAATGAAAACATTTAGAAAACCTGAAAGGGAACATATACTTTTTCACAGTACTGTACTTCTGTTGGCAGAGGGAAAGAGAAGAGAAGACGTATAGAGAGGGTGAGAGATGGAGTAAGGGCAGAGTATGAACTGTCTGACAGGGCCTCTGTCTCATGTTGCAGGCCAGTTATAGAAGATGGGTTGATTGAAGGGCACAGTGGAAGGGAAAGGGCTGGGGGAAAGGTGGGGGAAAGGTGGGGAGCCACAGAAATAGATCTGTAGAATATTCTATAAGAGGTGCCAGTACTCACGCAGTGGAACATTTGAGGTGCCGCTGAGCACCCGGCCCAACTCAAGCACAGATGTGTTGCACAGCAAAGGTACCTATTTGTGAAAAACATGAGACGTAACGGTCGAAAAGTAACCAGAGCTTGCCACTGACCTGTCACCTAATTGGGTCACTCAACATGCTGATGAAACTGAAACTGTGTTTACAAGGGTAGCTATACCAATAAGTAGCCAAAGGGAAATAACCTTAGTTGTGTGAATGGGACAACATCATCAAATCAAATCAAATCTTATTGGCCACATGCGCCGAATACAACAGGTGCAGACATTACAGTGAAATGCTTACTTACAGCCCTTAACCAAAAGTGCATTTATTTTTAATAAAAAAAGTAAAATAAAACAACAACAAAAAAGTGTTGAGAAAAAAAGAGCAGAAGTAAAATAAAATAACAGTATGAAGGCTATATATACAGGGGAGTACCGGTGCAGAGTCAATGTGCGGGGGCACCGGCTAGTTGAGGTAGTTTAAGTAATATGTACATGTGGGTAGAGTTAAAGTGACTATGCATAATTAATTAACAGAGTAGCAGCAGTGTAAAAAGATGGGGTGGGGTGTGGGGGTGGGGGGCAGTGCAAATAGTCCAGGTAGCCATGATTAGCTGTCCAGGAGTCTTATGGCTTGGAGGTAGAAGCTGTTGAGAAGTCTTTTGGACCTAGACTTGGCACTCCGGTACCGCTTGCCGTGCGGTAGCAGAGAGAACAGTCTGTGACTAGGGTGGCTGGAGTCTGACAATTTTGAGGGCCTTCCTCTGACACCGCCTGGTATAGAGGTTCTGGATGGCAGGAAGCTTGGCCCCAGTGATGTACTGGGCCGTACGCACTACCCTCTGTAGTGCCTTGCGGTCGGAGGCCAAGCAGTTGCCATACCAGGCGGTGATGCAACCAGTCAGGATGCTCTCAATGGTGCAGCTGTATAATTTTTTTAGGATCTGAGGACCCATGCCAAATCTTTTCAGTCTCCTGAGGGGGAATAGGCTTTGTCGTGCCCTCTTCACGACTGTCTTGGTGTGTTTGGACCATGATAGTTCGTTGGTGATGTGGACACCAAGGAACTTGAAGCTCTCAACCTGTTCCACTACAGCCCCGTCGATGAGAATGGGGGCGTGCTCAGTCCTCTTTTTTTTTCCTGTAGTCCACAATCATCTCCTTTGTCTTGGTCACGTTGAGGGAGAGGTTGTTATCCTGGCACCACACGGCCAGGTCTCTGACCTCCTCCCTATAGGCTGTCTCATCGTTGTCGGTGATCAGGCCTACCACTGTTGTGTCGTCAGCAAACTTAATGATGGTGTTGGAGTCGTGCCTGGCCATGCAGTCATGGGTGAACAGGGAGTACAGGAGGGGACTGAGCACGCACCCCTGAGGGGCCCCTGTGTTGTTACCTACCCTTACCACCTGGGGGCGGCCCGTCAGGAAGTCCAGGATCCAGTTGCAGAGGGAGGTGTTTAGTCCCAGGATCCTTAGCTTAGTGATGAGCTTTGAGGGCACTATGGTGTTGAATGCTGAGCTGTAGTCAATGAATAACATTCTCACGTAGGTGTTCCTCTTGTCCAGGTGGGAAAGGGCAGTGTGGAGTGCAATAGAGATTGCGTCATCTGTGGATATGTTGGGGCGGTATGCAAATTGGAGTGGGTCTAGGGTTTCTGGGATCATGGTGTTTATGTGAGCCATGACCAGCCTTTTAAAGCACTTCATGGCTACAGACGTTAGTGCTACGGGTCGGTAGTCATTTAGGCAGGTTATCTTAGTGTCCTTGGGCACGGGGACTATGGTGGTCTGCTTGAAACATGTTGGTATTACAGACTCAGTCAGGGACATGTTGAAAATGTCAGTGAAGACACTTGCCAGTTGGTCAGCACATGCTCGGTGTACACGTCCTGGTAATCCGTCTGGCCTTGTGAATGTTGACCTGCTTAAAAGTCTTACTCAC